GACAAAATAAACCCAAATAAAATGATTTTGTTATGTTCGTTAATGAAAACGGGTTTCCATGAGCCTGGATTTTATTGATATTTTTAGGTTTTTTTTTAATAATTTTAACGGAAAGAATAAACAGCATTAGTGCTATCACAACCAAAATGCTACTATTTATGAACACTTATTTTCATTTAAATAAAGTTTTTTTTAGATCAACAATTAAAATGAAGTATAGCTTGTTCAAAAAGAATTAAGAGCTACAGACGCTATTCGTTCTGCTTAAAACAATAGTTTTTTTGTTCCTATTTTATTTTTTTCCAGAATGTTTTTAGAACTTTTAGAGGTGTACTAGGTGTTGCTAGTTGCAGGGGCCGTTATTTATTAGTTTTCTTAAAATAATTTGTACTTTAAGTATAAAATATTATTTGTTGTACAGCTAAATAAGATTATTTATTAAAAAATATTAAATTAATTACAGTTGTTTTTGCAAGTGAGGCACAACTGCCCATCGCCTTATGACGCAGCTATAGCACGAAATCGGTAACCACGAGTAAAATCACATTCACCGGTTAAATTTACAGTTTTAAAAATTCTCAGTTATACCAGTGATATAAAATCACGCTTTAGCTCAGCTCTAGTGGTTACTTTTATTAGTTCTCTTCACCCTCAACCAGAGATCGTCTTCTTCTTTATCTTTGGCACAGCTCCTATCTGCCACTAACCACAGATCGTCGCAGACTGGACCAAACTAACCTCTGTGATTTGGCTTCTAACCTTTAATAACGCTCATTCTGTGAAATCCTGCTTTGGGAAGACTTGTCTTCATTTATGGGATAGTTTCATTAAAAAACGAATATGGAGTTAAAAGATTTAGAAAACGACAAAGCAATAAAAGAAAAATTGTCAAATCTTCGCAATAGTGTGCAAAAAATTAAGAAAATACTCGATACAGCCCTAGAAGCTGATACCAGCCAGTTCTCCTTAAAAGATCAAGTAGAGTTTGATTTATTTCTTACCTATGCATTAAACGCGCTGTACTGGATGTATCTGAAAACCAAAGGCGAAGATCCAAATTTCCATGATGTTAAAAACCAGTTAGCTAGAGTTAAGGACTACATGGTCAAAGCGAAACAGGTACCTGATTTATTTTCCAGCCATGCTTTCAAATGGTTTTGGGATTTAATTTATTGACGAAAGTTGCTTGCAGGCTGACGAACGAAATACAATAAGACCTAAAGTAAATCAAGCTGTTGCAGCGAGATTTGTAAAACATGGGATTCATCACAAAGAGGAAGAACAACCTCCCAATAAAAAAATAAAATTTGCGGATTAAACTTAGTTATTTTTTATAAAAAAAATAAATAAAAGTTAAAAGGCACTCAGTGCACTGTTGTTCAAGGGATTGAACATTTCTTTAAATAACTAGTTTCTAATTATACTTTATTCTAATAAAAACTTTTTATTCTCTTAAGTGTCAAGTGTCCCTAAAGTGTTCTCCTTAAGTAAGTCTCCAAAATCAAGGAAATTTTATGTGAAATCTGCTCGAGCACGGATTTTATTGCTTTTAAATGCCCATTCTAGGGATAAAGTTGGTATCTTTTGGTTCAAAGTTGATATTCCAAAATCCCCCGTTTGTTATGGAATCAAAAAGTCCTGGTAGATTTTGGGCGAACACTGCAGTTTCAAATTCTCTCACTTCCGCACAGTGACGTAGCAAGGTTAACTCGCACCCGGGGAACCATTTCTTTTTAGCGCCACCGATCCTCATTCGAATTAACTCGACCCAGAAATTGTTTGTTTTGAGCGCCTCTTTGTGAGTAGCGCCCGGGGCAGGATGCCCCCCTTCGCTACGCCTCTGCTTCTGCAGATAGAAACAGTTGCTACTCGTATCTCAGATTCAACTAACAACTTTTCGTGACAATGATAAGATGTAGGTAAAACTTTTAAGAACTAAATTTTGTATTTTTGAAGAATCAATCAGTCCCAATGTTTTTACTTTTAAAAACTCCGCAAAATGCGTTTTTCCCGCTATTTTAGCTGAATTGCACATTGTATTTTGTTATTTCCTGGTAATGGTGATTTATTCCAAAAACTCTCGAGCGGAAATAGGGCCTAAATAATCAATCACGTTATTTTATTTAATTCCTCAAAATGTGGCAAAACTGATTCTAAATATTTTCTGTTATTCGCTTTATGATAATTAGAACAAACGTAGACTTTTTTGTGATTTCTATTGGATTTTTCACGACACTATTAATTAGTCTCAACTGAACTTAAGTGAAAATTATAATAACAGAAAACTAGATCTATACTTAAAAATTATTCGACCGTCTAATATACAAGAAACGAATTTAAAAAATTGGTGACTTATGGATTTATAACTATAGTACTATCCTATCTTTCAATAATTATAACAAATTTGGGAATGAAGCAATACTAAATGTAATGTTTTTCTCTAAAATCTTCCACCAAACGGCCTTTGCATTCTTCTGGGTCGTCGATTACCGCCATAGCCTTGAGCACCCCTACCTCGTTCTACAAAAAAAATACGAATGCATGTATTATTTTATACCTATCTATTACTTTCCAAAATTTTTATAAATATATTGCAATCTGTTTCTGAGATATAGCCTTGTAACGCTTTAAAAAACTCACCCTGTATAAATAAATATATGCAACTACCCCAAAAATTTGCCATATAACTCACATTTCCGTAAATGCGAATTGAGACGTTTTTTTCAGTTGCAAATGAGGTCTTCATAGATGTCCAATATTATTAAAAATAAATGTTTTTGAGAAAACTGAATTGCCAAGTAACGGTTTTCTTAATTGAGATTTTTGAAATAACGACCATATTGTCATAAAGTCTGCTGACAGGAAAACTACTTATTCCGGAGTTAGAATGAGATCACGAAAACATATTTACTAATTAAATAGTCCGTTAAACTATATGTATATTTTTTATAGTGAATTTTCGATAAACAATTTTCCTGTAAAGGCAAATTCTAAATTGCAATGAATTATTTTCCTTTTCTTCGTTAATTTCATGACAGGTCTTACTTTAAATTTACGAAAAAACTTTCTCCCTTACCATGGTGCATTTGTCTCTGAGGCAAAGATCTTTGATCACCCCATACTATGGGAGTCGGTAAAACTCTAGATCCCCTTGTAAGATTTTGTCTAATAGGACGTCGATCAGACATACTGGCACCCCTGTTTAGTGTTCTTCTCGGTTCAATTGGACTTGGTGAGGCTTCGGCTTCACGTCCCTCCTCTTCGCCTTCCTCAGTTGAGGGCTGCTTCTCACCCTCAGAACTCACCTGCAACAGAACAATGTAACATTTTCAAAAAATTTAACTTAATGTAAAACGTACCCCATCATCTCCCTCTGCGTCGTCTTGACGGTTCTCTTCTGATGACGTTCCAGCTTGAACTGGAGGTCCCATCACCTCTTCGGAACCTCCGTCAGCTCCAGTTTCCTCGTCTGGACTTAACATTAGTTGCGGCATATCATCTTTAAATAAAAATATCAGTTATTACCATGTACATTGTGAATGAATGATGAAATTGAATGGAAAAATGATATGAACCATTTGAATTAAATAGTGGCAATTCCGAAATTGTTTCTACCAACCAAAGCTAAATTTCGGTACGTTTTCTTACCATCACTATGACTCGCATGTCTATCACTTTGGTCGTCTGCAACGTTAGGAATTGATTCTTGAGGCGACGATTGTAAGGGAGTTGTGGGTACACTGCGGCCAGTACCTGAAACAAATGCCAATTATTAAGAATTTCATGTGTCCTTCTAGTCCATGGGTTGGCTGAATATGGTTGACAACTCACTAAATACACACAAAGTCTAAGTCCTAATTGTATAAATTCTAAATAGCTATCTGAAATTTGGAAACCTAAATATTTCAACGGAAACTATCCTCGAGAATTATGTAACGTATGTAACATTCCCCAAATGCCGCATCTGAATCAACCATAGCATTCAACTGTCCCATGGACCATCAGCTACACCTACTATTATCATCAGCTTGAGGGACCTCCAAACTATGTTCGGCGACCGATTCGATCGTTCCACGAACTTGAGATTCATGTCCCGAGCCTGCTGTACTGGTCATTTGGGATTCGTTGAAGGTGAATCGTCCAATTGCGCTGGAAGGCACGTGAGGCGAACTCACGGCTTCACCGAAACCATCAGAACGACGTGGTGCAAATAACGTTGGGGTGGAAGGTACAATTCCATCATCTAATCCTCCCTCATCCAAAAGACCTGCTAGGGGAGCTCCCATGTGGTGTCGATGAGGAAGAGGAGGAACTAGACGAGAACGCGAAAAGGTCGTTCCAGGAGTGGATGATGTAGATGCGCGAGAAAAGGAGCTTGAAGGTCCTGCAGCAGCTATCAATACATTAATGCATTTCAGTAGGAAAGCACCTAGTTTTAAACACCAAGCATCCGCGCTCAAACCAGAACCTTGACATCATTAAATCTTTATTTAAGCAGCCGATTATGTTCAAGCCCGAGTTGATATTAGCCCAACAAACGTACTACTACGTATCATACTCTTTATAATTGGTTAATCTTTAGATTAAGCTTATAATACATACCGTCAGTTCCACTACTTATGGCTTCAGACTGAGCTTGTTGATCAGAGGCATCGCCTTCAGCAACTTCCTGACTTTCACTTTGATTTGGCACCTCACTGGAATCTTCAATTACCTCCACCTCATTTCCTACTTCATTTCCACCTTCCTCTTCATCTTCCACGTCTTGGCAATCAGCATCTTCATAAGTGTCTTGTTCCTAAGGCAGACATATGCAAGGTGTTTCAAAATAAACTTTATTTGTTTAAGGCGACTGGGGATTATTATTAAAGTAGAAATGCGTTTTTTAAATTAGTTCTTATTACATTTGATTCAAATACAAATTAAAGCAAAACTTGTTTAAAGTTAGGCAAAATTTGTGGGGACTTGGTGAAAGTTTTTCAACTGTCGCCGGGAACCACCGCTAACTATACAGGGTGATTTACGTAGACCGTATATTACAAGTTTACCAACTTACAGTTGTTTTAGAAATTTCAAATTTTGTTTCCGGCAATAACGACTCATCCCTAAACCAGGTAAAATATATTTAGCTCTCCAGCTGTACAGGGTGTATGAAAATAATAACGTAACTTTTTTATTATAAATGTAAACTCCTAATTTTTTAGCATGATTGGATTGGCCACCCTAGCTTTGTTTACTTATCTCTAGTTTTTGATATACCTCTATTGTTTAATTAAGAACATGTTATATCAAATTAACGGTTTTAAATTCAAAACCGAAATTTGGTAGGTAGATAGCTGAAAGCCCACACTAACTCCCCATATGACTTTGTAGCATATGGGTGCATACAGCACAAATATTGAAATAAAAAGAGTCAAAAAACGAGACGACTTGTTCGTTTCTAAAATAACTGTAAGTTGGAAAACTTCTAATGTACCGTCTACGTAAATCACCCTGTATATGGCAAACTATAAATAGGAAAATTTTGAAATTTGGAAAGTATATCGAAGTCATTGCGGGTAAGCAATCCAAAATATTTTCAACATGGACATACTTTTGTATGTTATTACATTATATTCCAAATTCTAAATTGTGTTTTTCTAAGGTTATAATTTCGTTCGCAATGGAAGTATCAAACCGGCAACGTGGCAATGAGACGCGCAAGCGCAATCAGCCAGGACTGGTGTGGACGGTTACGCAAAAAATATTTGCGGGTGGGTCACATGTCGAAAATATATCGATTTTTTGCTTGCGACACTTTAAAGAAACGGTTTCGGTGGTGCGATCGGTGACTGAGACTCGGTGCTGAGTTTGGCCGCAGTCCCTCCCCCTTTTAACTCTTCATTTTGTTAGAAGGGGGGATAAATAATAATTCCTTTAAAAAATCTTAATACAACTTACGTACCATTTTTTCCCACTGATGGGGCTATTTTCTTTACGGCAAAAATTTTATGATTTTCATTTTGGTAATTATAAATCGATGGGTATTTCCGACTTCCTCATTCGCTAGCTGCGACTCGAGCCGTCGCGTCTCGGGTCGGAACGAACGACCGAACTTGTTTATATGCACAGTACATTAAAGGAGTAATTTTTATATCAGCCGCGAGTCGCAATCGCACCACCGAAACCGCACGTTAAAGCGGGAACATTGGTCATGATGCCAATTTTGAATCAACCTATATGTGCAATCAAAAATTCGTTCTACCATGTAGAAAATAGCGGGAAAATAGTAAGCAACATACCATGCCCTCCATATCATACGCCTCTGTGTCGTCAGGCTCTTCCTGATCATCTCCCTCCCCTTCATCAGGAGCAGTTTCATCGTCACTTTCTACCACGATCACATTATCATCATCCTGATCGCGTTGACTACTAGTGGGAACCTGGTACTCAACATCCAATCCACTGTCGCTGACGGTTCCAGCCTGCTAAATTAAATGAGAAATTATACAAGAATGAAATTTCAAAACGCCTCAAGTCGCATTACTTGTAGTCTGGTTCGTTTAATCTGCTGCTTGGTTTGAGACTTTTCTTCAGCCTGACAACTATCAGTGTCTGGTTCTCGTTGCCTTTTAAGTCCTGCTTGCGTGGTTGTTACTGTATTTGAACTACTTGAGCTTGTGCCTTGTTCTTGAGTTGCACCACCACTGCTTGGTGGTTCCACTCTTGGAGATACCACTGCTAAAGTTTGTTGCTGAGGCGCTGGTTGTATCTGTAAAGTAAAATAAACAGTTATTATTTCCAATCTTCAATTTTTCTCGTTTTTTTTGTTATTGTGAAATGGTCAATTTCTATACCTGCATGGCATTATCATCGTCCTCCGACGACTGGGTGGGTGGAACAGCCACTTGCCTGGGTCCCACAATAGCAGAACTAGCTGAACTAGTAGCCGGAACATAATCTGTATGAGAAGAGGTTGGGCTACTAGATAAAGCTTCGATCGAAGATGATCCTGTAGTGTGAACCTATTCAATTTAAGGAGTACACATCGTGTTACTACTTGAAGCCAATTATCAATTACGTTTGTCTACCTGTTGTTGGGGTGGAACCATTACTGCGCTAGGGGTTTGGGTAGTAGGTAAAACCGCTGCCGTTCTCAATTGCTGCGACATTGGTCTAATACTTGCTAATGGTGGTTCACCAACATTCCTCCATGGCTGAATTGGCACCGATTGAGTTTGGGTATTAGTTGAATGACCTAAGGAATAATATTGCAGCAAAAACTTGAAAGAATCATCTCATAAACATGTAGATAAGAAACAAGCCCCCACGTTTCCGCGAAACTTGAAATGGGTTATAAAACCAGTTGGATTGAACACTAAGAAAATACAGGAAAATATTGTTGCACAATCTGCACCTTCACTATATCCGGATGCTACTGTATGTATTTCGTATAGATGAGCTGACAGAATATGGACTTTAAAGTTTTAATCAAGAGAATATCAAAAACTTACCAGGAATGGGTTTTATATCAGCTGTCGGTCTTTCTGCTGGAGATTTATCGCTGGATGCTGAGCTTGTGCTTGGTTTAGATCCCTGTTGCTGGCCCAGTTTTCTTTCCAATTGACTAATCGTTTGCTTCATCGAATCAATCTCCGTCGTATGGGCGATCTTATCCTGTTGTAATTTTTCAATCAACTCAACTTTTTCCTGCTGCAAATTGTTTATCCTTTCCAATAATTCGCTGTTGCTGTTATTGGCATTCGACTGATCCCCTGCGCTTCCAGACTTCTCTTTGCTGAGTTGCTCTTTCAAACTGCTATTCTGCTCAGTTAAAGAGACAATCCTATCTTTGGCGTTTTTGAAAAGGGTCTTAAACTTCTCTTCTTTCTCTTGGCTAGTTTGTTTCAATGAATCAATTTCCTTTCTTAAGGAATCGATTTGGTCTTGACTGCTGGTGACCTGTTGACTCAATTGGTCTACGGATTCCTTGTGTGAAGTTTCTAGCTGATTAACCCGCTCTTCATGTTCAGATTTCTGTTGTTCAAGCAATTGAGTTTGTTTATCTGAATTAATACTTTGTTCAGTCAGACTTTGCTCGTTTTGCTGCTTTAGTGACTCGATGTCTTTCACTTGATCTTCATACTGAGTCTTGTACTTTTTCGCAATTTTTTTCACTTGGGTCAAATTATTCCTTAGTTCACTAACAGACACATCCCTAGTGGCGATACCTTCGGTAAGTTGTCTATTTTCCTCAATTAAGTTCTTATTAGCTTGATTCTGCTGTTCAAGACTTTCTGTAATTTGGCTTACTTGGCTCTGAAGTCCAGCAACTTGCTCCCGAAGCCTAGTCATTTCATCTGCTTGATTATTGTTTTGAACTCGTAACACCCTGAGCTGCTCTTCTAGTCTACCGACATTTTGTTTCAGGTTATTATTTTCATCATTCAATTTTGCGGTATTTCCACGCTCAACTGTTAATTGTTTCGCAAGAGTCTCGCGTTCGGTCTGTAATTTCTTCCAATCTTCAGGGCTGGTTCTATTAGTTTTCTCGATTAATTGATTGGCTCGTTGCCTCCACCGAGTACATTCTCCTCTGAGGGATATATTCTCATTTTGCATCTGATCTGATTTGGTCATCAGATCGCGGTTTTTCTCTTGAAGCGGAGCTACTTCTGCCTCCAATATATCAGCCCTAACTCGTAAAGCTCCCATGTCCTCTAAGAGATTGTCGCGTTCTTGCCTCAGTGCTCTATTGCTATCAGTAATAGCATTGAGTGTTTCCAATTTGCGCAATACTTCAGCATGTTTAGCGGCGGATATATTAGTAACTTCAACCTGTTGGCGTTCGGATTCAATTTGTGCTTTAAGTCCTTCAAGCTGTTGCGAAACAGACTCAAACTGAGATTTTAGTCTAAAATGTTCAGCTTCTATTATATCGGCTTTACTCACAGCAATATCCTTTTCATGTCGCAAGTATTTAATAATTTTCAATAGTTGTTCGGAATTATGAACATCATCTTCGGCAAGAGATCGATTAAATGAAGTTTCACTAGATGGAAGACTGGTATTTTGGATACTTTGATTCATAACATTATCTGCAGACGCCCGAGATTGTAGAATTGTTAATTGAGTATTGAGTTGTTGAATTTGATCAAGCAACAAACTATTCTGATCATCCATATTTTTAAAACGCTCTTCTAGTTTCTCCTTCTCTTCGTTTAAGATTTTCTGCTGTTGTTGAGCACTCGCCAAGTTTTGACTTAGAGCTTCTACTGCCTGATCTCTTTCAGATTCAATAGATTTAATCAGATTCCTTGATGCATCCAATTCAGATTTCAGTTCTGTTAAAGCTTGCAAATCTGCGGAATGCAACGTAACTTCTCTGGCATATTTATTTTCAACAGCCTTTATTTGGTCGTTTAAGTTTTTGATATCAGCTTGAGCATTCTCTAATGTTTGTTGAGCAGAGCGAAGATCTAGACTTTTTACGTTAAGTTCTTTTTCAAGTAGTTGCGACTTAGTCTTAATATTAGAATTTGCCATATCTTGATCATCCAATTGTAAAGAAAGTTCACCTTGTAATTCTCCACATTTTTCTTGTAATTCTTTAATTAATTGTGTTTGTTTCTCAATTTCATCTTTGTATTGTTGTTCTTGATTCACAACGTCTTTTAGTTGCTTCTCAGCATTTTGAGCTATATTAAAGTATTCTTCAGAAGCGGCCTTGGTTGATTTTAGCAGTGTTCTCAATGAGTTGATTTCGGCTTGGGCGTCACTGAATTGTTGCTCTAAATCTCTTAATTTTCGACCCTCTACACTTGAATCTGGTATAGCAAACACGGAACTCTTCAGCTTCATGGATAAATCTTCGATGTGCATAGTTTTATTGATCAACTCTTCTCTGGTTTCTGCAATTTCTTTGCGAAGCTTATCGGCTTCCATCTTTTCTTCTTCCATTCTTTCTACAGCTTGTTTAGCTTGTTTCTCAAGATGGCTTGACAACTCCCTAAAGCGATTTAGTTCTTCATCTAACCGCCGACGTAGAGTTGAACATTCTAAGTGAGCTTCGTCGAGCTTAGCTTGCAATCTTAATTTACTCTCAGCGTCATTTCTCTCCAAAGTTACTTTAATTAATTCAATATTACTGTGTAACAAGTTCTGTTGATGAGCATGTTGTTTTTGCATATCACACTCCTTAAGAAGCCTGCGCTCAGCATCTCGCAGAAGAGCATTTTCTTTTTGAATATTGGCAAGCATTACTTCAGCTTTCGAAGCTCTAGTCTGATTTTGAATTGCTTCATCTTTCAGATAGGAAGCAGCTTGTTCATGTTTGACGATGGCTTCACTGTAAATTTTATTTTGCTTCTCAAGAGCAGTTATTTGTTTTTTGTAAATCTCAGCATTATTCTGAAGAGTCTTGAATTTTTCTTCGGCTAGTTCCGATTGTGCTGCAAGCTGGAAATTCAGTTTCATAAGTTCTTTAGACTCATTTCTAAAAGATTCTAATTGCTCTACTAATATTTTCTCATGGTCCGATCTGTCTTTTCTGTATGTCTCGAATTCTTCTTTCATTTGTTCAGCTTGTTTTTTATACTTGTTTATTTGGATTTCAAATTCGTGTAATTTTTCTTCATCATTAGGGCTTGAATCAGAATCTGACTGAGCCTTGGAATGGTCTGCGTTGTCTTGACCGGATAAACTTCTCTCAAGTGGAGTTGCCATATCTCCTGCCCCTTTCATGACTTGTGAATATAAGTTCTTATACATGTCCCTTTGGTTTCTTAAGGTTGACATCATTTTTGTCTGCTGGTCCCGCTCATCCAGTAACTCACTCTGTGATTCTCTTAATTCTTCTAGCTTTCGTTGCAAATTGGCTATAGCAGCTGGATCAAAGGATTCTGCCTCTTGCTGGTGTTCTGATAGTTCTCTTACTAAAGCCAGCAACTTCTGGTTAGTAGATTGCAACTCGGCGATGTCATTAAATGTCACAAGCCGTTTAGTAATAATATCAGCTGAATTGACGCTATCACTTAGGTCATTGTCTGTTGAAGTGGACGATGAACCAATCCTTGAATGTTCCACTTCTTGTAGTAAATGGATAACTTGTCGTGATAGATCAGCTATTTCTTTCTTCATTCTTTGATTTTCTCGAACAGCTTGCCCCTCAATTCTCCGGTTAGATGTCTGCGCTTCGCGCAGTTGTTGAAGTTCGGCTAATAAAGAGTCGTTAGACTGTTTCAGAACTTCGTTTGCATCAAGGGTATCACTGTATTCTTGACGCAGCTGTTTAATCAACGGACCTTTCTCCTCGATTTCCTTAACAATACACGTAATATAGTTATTAAGTCTTGTGCACTCCTCCTCTTTGCTTGTGAGCTGTTCATTAACTGATACGTAACGTGAATACACTTCAGTGTATGTCATTCCTGACTTCATCATTCGAGATACTGATGCTGCTGAAGTTGAAATACCTATATCAAAATATAATATATGAGTACAACAGCAAGATAATAGTGTTTTGAACGGGTTCTTACCTTCGATGTCTCTACTCAAAGATTCATTCTTATTAAGTTCAATAACTTCATTGGCGGTTTCAAGTTCCTTTTTCAACATAGCAATGTAGTCGTTTTTCTTTCCAATTATCTCTTCGTGGGCCAAATCAGTTTCTTTACTTTTTGTTTCAAGTTCGCCGTATTGTTCAGTAGCTTTACGCAATAGTTCTTGAACCTAATAAAGCAAATTAGAATTAATCGATGCAATATATAATAATATATAATAATAAACAAAATGATTAATCAACGTACCTCGCTCAGACCACTCCTTAGTTCTTCTGTATGCTTCTGGCTTTCCTCATGCATTGACTTGTACGTATTTGCCATTTTAGTTTTGCCTTCAATTTCACAAACATACGATTCATTGACTTTTGCATGGGTTTCGTTTAGGTTAAATATTTTCTGAGCTAATTCCTCGTTCCTTGTCGTTAAAGTTTGGTTCATTTCTGTCAAAGATTTTACTTGTTCTGTAAATACGCCCAATTCTTGCGTTCTCTCTGCTAATTTTGCTTCCAATTGAATGCATCGTGAAGAGTTATCCCTCCTCATATTAAGAAGTTCATCAGTTCTCTCCTCGAGTTCCTCTAAAAAGAATGGAGAAAACGCGCTTTCAAAACATTGATTCATTCCGTTTCAAGCTCTGAAAATTTATTTGCACTCCCGTAAGTTTAAAACGATTATTTTACGACACTCTTCATGGTGCTTAAATACACAATAGAGAAAAAATTAAGTTATTGTATTACAAATTATTTCAGAAAAAAATTGAAGTGATGACGTTCTGGTTTTTGCACCAATAAATTGTTTTAAAAAAATCGATAAATAAGGATTTATTATCACCACCGCTTGTAAGTTCTTTACAATAATTGCATTTGTTATGTAACATGATACAACTGATAAGGTAATAAAGCGGAATGCTTACTTTAGGGTTTCGGAAATGGGCAAAATATCCTTATCAGTAATGGAACATGCAAGAGTATAAACTGCACATTTAATAAAAGGAATGATAGTAACAAACAGTGCACTTGTTGCAGTGCATTGGGATTACTAATATTTTTCAGTATACTTCCAATATCCTTGGTATAAGATTCTTCAATATAAGATCAATCCCTTAGCACCCCAACTTGCTGCCCACTTAATGATAAATAGTGGACGATTTCTCGTTGAAATATTTCTAATTCTGCTCTGTATTGTCTTTAAATGACCACAATAAGACAAAAAAAATATTTGGACAAATAAATAAATTATTTAAAATAAAACACAAATTTATACATATGTATAGGTATTCGAATTAAAAAACTGTACACCGCTGCACAAACAGACACGCTTGCAAATACTTGTGAAAAGGGTAAATTAAAAACTGAACGCTCAATAAACCAATCACATAGATTATTAATCCACCTGGTGATATATGACAAGTTTCTACATATTTTATACTGGTATCGACTACGTTTCTGAAGTACCTTTTATATTCATTTAAAATATTTGCTTTGCGCAAAAATGAAGTAGAATAGAATAGAATGAAGACTTCGGTATAAGCTAAAGAGTTGAAAAAAAGTTGACAGAAAATTAAAGCAGAGAATTAGCAGATTGATGTCATCACATATAATTGATACTCTATTCGAATTAGAACAGCTACTAGAATTTAAAACATACACTTATTTGCTCACTTTTAAATAGGCAAATTTAGTCACAAATTTATTTACTTTGATATTCTGCTCAAACAATAGAGTTGTTGAAAGAAAGGAGTTTTCTTACGTTCTTTATTATGATCTTATACTGAGTACTCTTTCTGATAAAGCACGAAATTCTGAAGAAAATGTAAAACATCAAAAAACCAAACCGTAGGATCTCACTAAATTACATAGTCGATATTACGTTTTGATAACTACATTTCGTTCTTTATAAGAAAGAAACACTTGGTACCAATTCATAATAGAAAACGAATGGAAACTCCTTCTTTATAACACGGCCAGGCCAGCGATCCAAATAAAACAAATTTAAACCTTAATTTGTAGAAATATATCCCTGGAAGCATCTGAAGAAATCAGTACTTTCAGAAATTGATTCATAAAGTAAAGAACCAATAGATAAGGTATAAAAAAATACAATCAATTGAAATAAAAAAGACGATGCTTTCCACATAGAAAAATTAATTTAAACTAAACAAAGCACCATAGATCGATGAAAATACGGAATAATTTCAAGGGCATATTTCTGCAATTGTAGAACTTTGTTATAAAAGGTGGTCGGAAAATGCGTTAGAAAAATTTGAAGGGTGATTCTAGATGTTAAAATAATGGTAGAAACTCAAGCAACAACAATTCGAAATTTGAATATTTTCGGTATATATTTATCAGCAAACTAAATATTTCTTTTAATTTTTGACCAATTCTGAACATTTATTTGCGGTTCAAATTGAAAATCGGTATAGGGTAAAGTAATGTGTGATTTGAAAGATTAGATTCACATGCCTCGAAAAACTTCTTCGTTTAGGAGCAAATCGCCAATAAAGCTTTTATTACTTCAACCTAGTGTAATTCAGTTGTTAATTGGAATTGCAACAAATCAAGTCGTCTGGTTTTAAAATGTGCCAAATTTTGCAATTTATAGTAATTATATTATTTATTTTTGTGCTCTAAAACTACTCAATTAGATAGGCAATAATACAATAGAGTGAGTAGAAAGTTATAAATATCTAGGCCTGATTTCTGATTATAGAATTAAATGGGATAATCATGTAAATTATATCTATAGCTAAAAAAAGAAATATTTAATTTTTGTTTTTGCAAAAAATAGGTATAGAATGGACCATAAAACACTACGATGTACTATGCTTTTTTCAAGGTTTGGTTAATTATTGCATAATTGCTTGGGGTGGAGCGTACAATAATTGTTTACACTTAATGCAGGGTATTCAAGGGAAATTATTGAAAATTGTAAACAATAATCAATTTCAGCAACATAACCCTCCACTTACCGTAACCCAATTATTCCAATTAGAGGCCATATCTTATCTTTATACTACGTTAAGAAATAAATAATAATAAAAAAAGCAATACTAGAAATAAGAGTCTTCAGTTGCCAATGATTCATAAATCTATAAGTAAAAAAAACAGCCACTTTGTTGCTATAAATATATACAATATAATGACGGATGATCTGAAAGTACTAGTGATTAGCAAAATCTCGATTAAGAAGAGACTAAGAATATTTATTAGAGAAAAACATGTATCGCTTAAGAAGAAATTTATCTTGTACTGTTTTTGACTTTTGCGGAAATTTCTTTCTAGTCAGTTTCCAAAACAATTGCCAACTTCTTTTTGTAAGTTTTTCTTCAAACTGGAGAAACATTTTTTATTACAAAGTTAAACATTAATATGAGAAAACTATGTACCAATTTTCAATTGGATCCGCGAAGAAATGTTCAGAATGGTTAAAAAAAGAAAAAAAAATCATGAGCTGTAACTAGAAAAATATTCAGATTGTAGAATGACCCTTTAAAATGTCCAAACGCATTTTCCGAACACCCTGTATAATACTTGTTCAACTACAAAAATGATTCAACCAACACTAATTATACTAGTGAAGAATGATAACGCATAAGAATGCAGTGTCCACTAGATTATCAACATTTTCTACCTTGTTGATATTCATATTCTGCTTAACGTATTATTATTATACTATACATATGCTACATGTTTCGTTAAACTTATTGATCAGAAGAAATTCAACAAAATATAGTGAAATACAATTCGGTCATTCGGTCAATACAATAAAATAACAAAATTTAGATACCGAGTATTTCTTGCAATATACAGGGTGTCCGTAAGCACATGACGAAATTGGTTCTGCGACATTCTTTGGCTCAAAAAAATACGATCTGATCTAACTTGTATTAAGAAAAATATCTGCCTTCTGTGCTATTGATGGTCAAAGTTCTTCAAAAGTTCCGTTTTTTAAATATCGGGAGAATTATACGATGCATTTTAATGAAACTGGTTGTCAATTTGTTCTTATAAAGGGTGTTTTTTTAGAGACATATCTTTAAATTGAAATAAAACTCATAAAATTCATTTTAAGGTCATGGTACTGGCTTTATTGAAAATACAATTGTAGGCCCTTATAGTTTAAATATTGTTTGGGGCATAAGGGCGGCGCAGCTGGTTCGAATGAAGAGCAATCCTTCGTGGATTGCCAATTTTCGACCATTTTGATTCCACCAGATCATAAAAAAGCGCACCAAACAGTAAGTTTTTCTGGAGATTACGTCGTCTCAATAATTGCTTTCGGATTTTTGTCCCACCAAATTCGGCAATTTATATCGACAATTGCTGTTCAGTTTGCCAAACTTACTGTGCGCTACTTGCATTTTACTGTGGCCATAATCGTGTTTGGCTCAATGGTTGCGTAAATAAACAAAATTGCCGGATTTGGAGCGACGAGAATCCAGAAGCCATTACTGAGACCCCGTTATATCCAGAAACTCCCTGTTTTTCTGCTTATCGTCTGAAAGAAGTTTGGAAGTGATGGAAAATTGGAGTTCCAGATAGCTCTTCATTCGAGCCAGCCGCGGCGCATTATACCCCAAATCATAGTTAAGCTATAATGGCATACAATTGCCTTTTCAATAAAGCCAGTACCATGACGTTAACAGATTTATCGAGTGTCTTGGTACAAAAACGTCCAGCTTTTCATTTGGCAACTGGAGTCAACTCAATTTTTTGCATTAATCTTTTTTAAACATTTTCGTGCTCTTTGTAAAATCTTATAGCATTCATAGTTTTTGTGCAAAAACGACATTTCTGTCTTCTTACCAACTAACATTTTTTTACCAGCAAAACTTCAAGTATTTGTTTTGTAATGTCGGGTGAGTGTTCAAATTAATTTTAATAAAGTTTCCAGTTGATTTGTGCAGAAGCGGAAAGCTCGCTTCTTTTCGACGGATTTCTGTGGAATGCATTTCGAAAGAACACGCTTCCAAAGAACGGCCCGGCTAAGATTTTGACCATGATGGTCAGCTAATAGTTATAAAACGCACAATTAATTGATTATGAAAGAACATTATCGCTTACTATATTACAAAAACAGAACTCATTGCTGGTCTTTGTATATCAGTAGTCTTACAAGTAAATTTAGGACCGAAGTATAGAAGTAAGACATCCCAATGCAGCGTTCGCATAGTTACAGTTTGTCAGAGTTGTTCACCTATACCCTAAGCGCTCACTACTAGTATTGCATGAGGTGTTCAAGACTTTAATAGTCTGGATGCCACGTGATAAAGTTAAATGACGTCTACCTATACCTTTTCGTGCACATTATAGTAAAGTTTACGCCATCATCGATTGTTTAGAAATTGAAATTCAGAAGCCGGAAGATCCTATTCTTAAATAGCAAGAAAACAGAAATTTCGGAGACGAAATAAAAAGTTCTGGAGACACCCTCTTTGAATTATCTCTTATTATGTCTGCCTTACTCATATTTATTTTTTACATTATTCTCGATCTACCTGATAGTTTAAGCATTGCTTTAAATTATTCAAGTTATTGTATGATTTTAAGTAGTTAATTCTTTGCCATAACACATAAGCGCCCTTTATTAGTTTCAATAGTCACCACAAATATCTTTATTGGTGAAAAATGAAGGTACAGAACTATGAAGAAAGGTGTGAAATAACTTACCTGTAAGACTCTGGATCTGACTATTCATCAAAGATCTTTCCTGCTCCAAGCGCTTCTCTTTATACTCCAAAGTCAATTTCATAGATTCAACTTCTTCAGCTTTAGCCAAAGCTTCACATTTGGTATTGATAGCATCTTCAAGCTGTTTGGTCAACGTTTCAATATCCAACTGAAGCATCTCAGCTTCTCCAGTGCGTCTTTGTAACATTTTGAGTTGTTCATCACGATCATCCACTGCTAGATTTCGCTCATGGCGGTACTGGGCCGCTTCGGATTCCAGTTGATTGGCCTGAGTCTGCAGTCGAATGAGTTCAGCAGAAAGGGTTGAGACTTGGTTCTCTAGTTCGGTAATAGATGACCCAGCCGCCTCCAACCTGGCCTTAAGAGCCTCGTTTTCACTCGAAATGACATCGTTTTGCTCTTTGAGTTCAGTGGAACTCTTGTCTGTTGACAAAACGTTGAACAATCAGTAAAAAGTCCTCACTTGCATGAAATCCAAATCTGTTGCTCTAATATATCATACCTGAATTGGTGCTCTTTGTTTCCAGTAGCGCTTTCGTAGTGATAAACTCATCGAACTTTTCATTGACGAATTTGGAGATTTTTTTCCCGATTTCCTTGGGAACCATCTCCCATTCCTCCAGGCTCACCACAGGCTCAAACGGAAACGACTCCATGGTGCAAACTATTACAAAAACCGACTAGCACACTTAATTAAATAAATAGAACGGGTTTGCAGCTCATTAATCTAAATTTGCGAACATTACAAATGAGAAAGCGTCGAGATATTGACCACCATGCAATTCGACAATGAACGAAACGAAAACATGCCGGCAAATGCTCAACGCCACCCGGGTTGCCACATAGAGTCTAAGTGTGGGATGCATTGTAGTCTTCATTGACTCTTTAATTTAAAAAAATTGAAACTTGTTCCTTTTCATTTTCTGTCTACCGCTAAAACTTCTTTTATAGGCTACTTGCGGAGAAATCTGTAAATATTCTAAAGGACAACTACGGATCTTTTAACAGGAAAGTCATTCAGTTCAGTTATAAAGAAATTTGGCTATTGCTGACAACGTTGAGAAAATGGCGGTTGTATCGCCACAGCACTGCCAACCCTGAGTTTATAATACCAGAGTTTTCACCCTATATACTAGCGTAATTAATAGTGCCTACAGTTTACCTTCAGCAGTGTGCTTTAGGAAAGTGGACGTAAGCCTTTCTACGCTAAAAAAATATTCAAATACTGCTTTTATTATGACATGTTGCCAGTACTCATAATTTTCTGTTATTGGTTATGCTGAATCAACAGTCAAATTCATCAATTTTTATGGCTCACCTACATTGTAGATAAATGTCAAATAACAATATGGCAGTTCCAACCTAAAAATTTAAAAGGTCAGTTATTCAAAAAATCCAATTAAATTTGAAATCATGGGCGATATAATAGGGGAGGAACAGTTGAATAGTAATAAGCTAGATCTGCTGCAGGAAGTGAAAAAGTATAGTGAACTTATAAGAATCTATAGGAAAAAATCAAATAAATACAAAATTCGCTTGGAGTGCATATTGGATTGTTTAGAAAACAAGGATATGGAGCCTCAACTGAAAAATAAAGTGAAGAAAATCATACTATCTGCCCGTGTATCTCAAATTCAGCTGTGTAGTGACCCAAACTCAGTTAAATGCGAAACTCAGAACCTCCTGGGTGTACCAGTAAATAATATCAAACTAACTTATTCAGAGCGCGAAACATTAGCTTTCTTTTTGAAATACCCAATTGACAGTAAATTGGCGAATTTAAAAGATACATATAAATTATCAGCAAGTGCAGATAATTCAAAGCAAGAATTTTTTCTTGAACTGCCTTATAATGATAAAGTTCTATTGGAGTACAGAAGCAAACTAGCCCTGAATCAACAGGAATTTATCAACAACCAAACACAGATGTTTGCGGTGCTTGAAGAAATGATGAAATTCCGACTGAAAACCGTTCCTGAACTATCCAAGATCAAATGCAAGGAATACGAAAGTAACATCCAGTTAAACTATTTGAAAATGCAATTAATAAAAACAAAATCACTAGTAGATATTTTGATGCAAGAAAAAAATTCACTGCCAGCTTTAACAGAACTAATAAAGGATATGAAAGAGCAGAAAATCGAATTTTTACGGAAAATTGATGAACTTAAGGATCTCAAAAAGACGTATGAGGATGCATCTTGTAAAGAATACGACGCTATCCTTCAGTCCTACTTACAGTATAAGGCTGTGCTGAACAGAAAGAAACAAATGGAGGCCCTGCCGATATAGAACCTCGTTAAGAAAATTAATCACACTACTTACCCGAAATTATTATTTATAAATTGCTATCGACTGAGTAGAATCAATTTGTACTTGTATTGGTAGATATTTAAGTTTCCAGTTGGGATACAAATAAAAAAAATAATTTTATAGATCTTCTATTGTACATACAATGTAAAAATAATGTATAGATAGGTATTTGTTTCTACTCCAAATCAAATTCATTCCTGGGTTTCAGTCATTTATTGTCTCTATTTATCAATCAAAATACGTTTCGGTGTATTTTCCCACCAACATCAGTTTTTATGTGTAGCGTTGTTGCTGCTTTAAGCCTTGGCATGCATTTATAAAATAAAAACTGATGATGGGAAAATACACCGAAAAAATTTTGATTGATAAATAGAGACAACAAATGACTGAATGAACTGACTGAAACTGATGAATTTGATTTGGAATTGAAACAGTCAGGAAAGTATATACAATTTGTTTCTACTAGCATATATTTTGCGCATATATATCTTTATATAAATTCCTTGGCATGGTTTAAATTATTTAAAAATAAAATCAATGATAAAAGTGAAATTGTTTTATTATAAATATTGGCACAAATATATATTTGTATAAAGTAATACTAGCTTTGTGATAAAATTAAAATGAAACATAACTATTCATATAAGTTTGAAAGATCCATCACTGACCATAGTAACAATGTTACAAGCAAAAGGATAAAGTATTGGACATATTTAATGGTTCTCAATTTTCAACTTATTTTAGCTTATTACAGAAAATCATATTTAAACGGGTTTAAAAAAAAATACTGCGTCTTGATATTAATTCATTCAAGAATCATTAAAATAAGGTTTACAGTTACATCAAAACGATTGATTTATTTTTACTTGAAAAACGTTTAATACCTTCCAACGGATTTTCTATCAAATAAGTAAAATTATTAAAGTCGAAACGTTAAAAACGATCAAATGAGTTGCAATAGATTATTTACAAACATTCGAAAAGACCATAATAAGAAAACACATACATATAACTAACTTATAATATACTTTCACTCTGGTTTGTGTAAATTTTGATTTTCTTAACACCAGAAATTTAAGTTAAAGTAACAAATATAAAAAATATGTACAGTAAATATAGAATATAGCCTCTAACGAACACAGTTAAGCTCAATACGATCCATCGGCTAAATGCGGTGAAGATTTTATTACTCAAATTCTCGCTCACTTAAGTCGGCTTCAGTCTTATGGACGTACCAGGCAGAAAAATCAACTTGCTCTTAAAACACAAATAAGAATCGACAATTTAAGGAAGTGGAGAAATTCTTCAATCTGCTAACAAATTCTGTGTTTTGTACAAAATAAAATACTCTTTCAGCGTGTGTTGAATCGTGAACTGAAAGTTATAGAACGGAATTAATATCAATATTTAATTAATCACTATCAGAGCCATCGGCAGCTGAATTTTTAACAAGCGCTGGAGTTAAACTTTTGTCCTCTAAAAGACCATGTTCAACCAAAAAGCTTTGTACATCTTCAGCTTGAAAATTATCGCCAAGATCGTTCGTCAGTTTCACAAAATTGCCGATTATATTGCCAGATTTGTAAACTAGCAGAGCAGGAAGTCCACCAGCTCTAAATTCCCTGCTTACACTCGCTAAAGGTGCAAGTATTGCAGCAAATTTTACAGTGTTATAAATTTTTGAAAGCTGTATAAGGCACTGGTTCATTAATCGACAAGGATGCACATGCTCCTCATAAATGTGTATAATTACTGTAACCGTTTTATCTTCCTTGTCGATTGCCTCTAAAAAATCCTTGGAATTTCTCAGAAACATCAGGTCACCTATATTGAAGCAAACAATTACATTTCCATTGTCCTACGATTAATTGAAGCAAACATACCGAACTTCTTACTCAGATTAGTCTGCTGAATCATTTCTTCGATTCTTTGCTTTTGATAGTGCAACAAAAAGTCGTCATCAAGCAACTCAGCAAGTTCCGGATCTTCCAGGGCAGCTTGCTCTCTTTCGTCCTCCAACGTTGTTCGAACAGTCATTGTTAACTTCTTTGCCAGTTCCACCATTTCTTTGCCACTTTCAGTGCGTTTTGCACTTTCCAGCTGCTTGAACTTTCTCCAATCCTCGATTACACCTTAATAAGTAGTAGTTTTGTTTTATTAAAGGGGGCACCTACACTATGTAATTGTCAATTAAATATGGAGATTTGTACTACTATCATAAAGTAATCTTATCAAATTCCAAAATAGTTTTTGCGTGCACTATTTTGACGACTTCCTGTACATCACAATAAACTCATTCGCTTCCACAAATTATATAAAGGACAATTTTGGCTAATTTGGCTCAATTAATACCTACCTGTGTATGGAAACGGTTTTCTGAACTCACTGTTTGTGTCTGCATTTGTATAGTCATATAAGAATTATTTTGGCATTTTTCTTTTGGCTCTCGTACATTAGACTAAGTCATAAAAGTAAGACTTTGCATGGTTATTCAAGCGTGTTATGAAGACACACACACACATACACTAAATTAATATAATTCATGAATGAAGATCATTATACCTTTGGGTCCAGTATTCGTAGATGAACCCTCCCACTTGTTAATTTCCAGGGGTAAATTAGTTTTGGCAACGGCAGCTTTTTTATCGCTGGATTCTGCTCCTGAATCTTCATTATCACTACCTTCGCTGCTACTGCAGTAATTGTGCAGTTTTTCCCCCAATATTTTATCTTCCAAAGTAGCCATTTATCTCTAGAGTCGGTGAAGCAACGACTCAACTAATTCCTCACGCAGTTTAAGGTAGTGCTTGGACAATTTAAAAATAGAATTTCTTATAAACAAAATTAAATAATTAAAGCGAATATGACCATGACGTTTCTTAACCTGAAAATTTGCAAAACAGAAACCATACAGAAACAATGGGAAGGATTGCCGACTCTCCGACGTTGCCAAAATCTTTTACTTAAGTTGATCACATCTTTCAAAAGGCAAATTTGCGCGCGCCATTAGTAACTGCTAAGTTTAAATAAATTTAAAAAATATATATAGTTGTTAGCTTTAGAAATATTTAAAAATATAGTATCATAAGGCCTTTACTTTCAATTCCTAAATTAAATTGAATAAATGCATAGGAGGAATAAAAAAATAGGAAATTCACAGTTCCAAAACCGTGGCAACTTCAAACAAAGTATATTTTTTGGGTAAATTGTTCATTTAAATTGTTAATTTTTCTATCTAATTATAGAGTATCCGAATAGATTGAATAATATTCAAGTTCAATAGAGGTCTTCAACTGCTAATATTTTGCAGCAAACATTTTTGTACATTCAATATTTTTTCGACGCTCTTCAATCTTGTCTTAATAATAAAAGTCTCCATTGCAATGACGTTGTTTTTATTTATTTCTGAATAAATTGGAATAGTGTTACCACTACTATTATTGTTTTAACTGTAATGACTAATAAACTGAAACAATTGATTTATTACTTTTCTTGTTTTTTAAAATTAACATTTAATAAATATTTTTAACTATTTTTTTTGTAATTAAAACTGACAATTTGTATGGAGTAGCAGAAAACTGAAACAAGTTCCTATTTCTTCTGAAGTACCTCTTGTGTGCAGAAATGTTAAAATAATTGCACTTTATACACATATAAGGAAGTCAATAGAAAATGCCCAAATAAAGCACTTCTTACCTTTTTTTATACAGGTGCATAAAATAATTTTCGTGTAATTTTTATCTCCTTTATCCTTCTCCTTATCAAACGTTCATTTGAAGTGTTTAAAAATACATTAACCATAAAAAAATATTGAAGCAGCTCTACTGATAAAAATAACATAATTTTAGCAAATATTTTCTACAAATCATATTCTCACGGTAAAGCATTGTCTCTGTGGTGATTATTTAAATGAACGCTCTAGAAAAAGACACCAAGGCGTCAGACAGCTTGTATCTCGCTCAGTCGCATATGGATTCTTCAATTGGTGTGTTGGGATAGCTGTCAAGTTAAAGTCAATTAGTCAAAATATTTTGTTCTCTATGTGGTTCACATGTGGTTAGCTATTTATATGAAAGTAGACGAACAATAAAAGTTTTTAAATAGTACCAAAAGTGATATCTAGCTGAATCAAAGTTTGGACATTTTTCTGATATAATCTGACACAGAAGATATTTTATATTTACTCTCCAATTTATTCAATACGCAGTTCATTGTGTGAGTGCAGGGCTCAAGTAAACTTAGCAAGCATTATGCTTTTTGCAAACAAAGAGAAGTGCCTTCAAAGCACATCTCTGTTGAGTTATGATGAGGCATGTATAGATATATTTAATACGTTCAATGATACAGTTTCCATATTCGGCCAATATCAGCAATGCCATGAATGCAATTTTCAAAATTTTACTGTTTTGAGCCCCCAGGGGAATAAATCCTTGTTAATCAGCACTAGATCACCTTTAACGTTATACTGGGACAAGGATGGAATAGACAATTGCATGTAAGTGCTGGTATTAAAAAAATCTTTGTATAGTTAGGTATTAATATAATTTTTATAGCTTTTCTAAACTGTATTATGAACATTATCGTTATGGCTGGAATATCACATCTCAGTGCGAACAAGTTCGTATTAAAAACGCAGCAGATGATGCCTATCTGCGTAAGACATGCCGTTTTCATACCACATTTTAGCCAACTTTAACATATAAATTTTAGCTATTCTTATGGCCTTTGTGTTTCTATTTTGCTTTGGAACATTGTGGTATATGGTTAAATGCATTTACAAAAATAGTGGCAGGTTGAGAAGCCTTTTGGCATGGAGCTCAGAACTTGAAGATGTAAGTAAATTACTAAATTAACAGTATAATCGATATTTTTATCATTCTTATCAAATACCTCCTTTATATCGTTGTTACATTGCTCAAGTATACATATAATTAGGAAATCGGTTGTAATTGCATTTCACGAAGTTTGGTTTAATTATTTTACAATAACAACTAATCTAAAATGTACCGAAGCTATGAATCATATCTGAATCATTAACATGTGCCTTGCTGATAAAACCTCTGCAATTAAAATATGTTTATTTTTATCAATCTATTAATGTGGGTACTATAGAAAAAGCTTATGCAACAATCCCTATATTTAGGTAAATGCGAATATATTATACATATTATCAATAGCTTAATATTTTGCCGAAGACATCATGTGCGATCAATGAGAATTTTTAATTTTTTTGCATCTTTAATTCCTGACTTCGCGGTCTATATTTCTCAGTCAGAACAGAAGACTAAGCTGCATTCTTCATTCTAGAATTGAACACGGCCAAGCAATTATGGATCTTCTTTATTAAGTATATCACGCACGAAATATTTATTCAAAAGGCGGTCATTGAGATTTACCTAAACAAACGGTACTATTTTGGGTCTCACTAAAGGGAAGATCACTCACGAGGCATGCTGTCAACATAATAGTTCTGATCAAAATTTTTAAGCATTCCCGATGTTTTACTGGTCTTGTTTTCCAAATACCTCAAATTTTAGCAAGTTTGAAAGAAAAAGGCCATCTGGCCCCAGCACATTGCATTTATCAACATTGTTTAAGCCGTGTTTATTTAAGCCACTTGCGGTTTCTTTTATTTATTTGTTTTTCTATTACATTTTTAACAGAATGGTTTTGAATATTGTCCATATTATTGAGTTTAATTAAACACTCACCACTTACATTTGCTGAATGCGAATCCACACATACAAGAATCTAGTGCTAATCGTGAATAAGATATATGATATACGCATGAATTATACCTAAGGGTCTTGTACATGACCAATTGACAGTGCTCCGGTGGCGCTAATAAAACATTCTATTTAAAAAGCAGTGCATCAAACACTAGAAATTTTGCGTTTAGTCTACCAAAAAGTTTTTGGACTTAACTAAATAAAATGCTATGTATTTTCCAATCGAACCAAAGCATATACATTTAGGTTTTTTCTTACGTGAAACGGAGAAAAGAGCAACTTGTGTTAATATTTTAAAGGATTTGACTGGATCAACGCCTCTGGTAATCGAAAGACCACCATCCATCAAAAAGCATCCACATCGAATCAAATCATTGGATGTATTTCGCGGGTTGTGCATTATATTAATGATCTTTATCAATTACGGTGGTGGACATTACTGGTTTTTCCAACATTCTCCCTGGAATGGTATTACCTTGGCGGATCTTGTTTTTCCATGGTAAGATCAAGGTGATTCCTCCTTTGTATTATGCTATTGTTTTGTATATCATTTTAAGGTTCATGTGGATAATGGGGCTGTCCTTAACGGTTTCCATGCATAAAAAGCTGCAAAGAGCAGTACCAAGACGAACGTTGGTATTCCAAGTGTTGCGCCGAAGTGCACTGCTCCTATTTTTAGGAGTGGTCGTTAACTCAAGCAAACATGTGTTGTCTATAGCAGAACTTAGATTCCCAGGAGTATTGCAAAGATTTGCCGTTACTTATTGCATTGTTGGATTGCTTGAAATTGCTTTTGCCAAAAGAATCGAAATTGATGTATGTACTACTAGATCATATTCACTTGGGCTGGAAATAGAACCTAATTATTTCAGAATATATCCTGCGTTACTGATATCGTACAAGCTTGGCCACAGTGGTTGTTTGTTCTAATGCTGGTAGCGATTCACACTTGTATCACATTTCTAGTTAATGTCCCCGGTTGCGGCAACGGGTACTTGGGTAGGATTGTACACCTGTTTACACTGTTCTCAGTCTAAGTAAATGCGTTTTTAGGACCGGGGGGTTTAGATGACATGAGCAAGCACTTTAACTGTACTGGAGGAGCTGCTGGCTACATTGACCGACAGGTTTTTGGGCATCATCTATTGAAAATACCTGATTGCAGCCGTATTTATGAAAATAAGGTCTGGTTTGATCCTGAAGGTAGTCTCTATTAAATTTTTGTCAGTCCAACAAGTGCAAATTTGTTTTTTTCTGCAGGTATTTTAGGCATTTTAACATCCGTACTTACTGTATACTTAGGAGTGCAAGCAGGAAGAACTTTAAATACATATCAAAATGTGAAAGCCAAGACCATAAGATGGGTTGTGTGGGGTTGTTCTATGGTAAGCTTTTACTGATTTCACATGCCACGAACCATATCATATACCGAAACATACATACAAACATTATATTAGCTATTGGAGTTTTAACTATTTAGAATTTAGAACATTTTTGCTGCTCTAGTTGAAATATTTTATTCTTTTTATCAGCTAACCGATAAAAAACTTTCTTCCAGTGTTTGATTGGTGAAATTCTGTGCAGTTTCAAGATAGACGATGGACCAATTCCCCTTAACAAACAACTTTGGTCACTTTCTTTTACATTGGTGACGGCTGGTATGGCTTTTATTATTCATACTTTCCTCTTCTTAATCGTGGATATATATCGAAAATGGGGTGGAAGACCATTTTTTTACCCCGGCATGAATTCAATAGTTTTGTATGTCGGCCATGAACTATTTAGAAATACGTTCCCATTTGGATGGATCCCTACAGTGGAAACGCACTCTGCTTACTTATTTATGAATCTCTGGGGTACTGGATTGTGGGTGGCAATAGCGATTTATTTGTACAAACACGATATATTTTTTACCATATGAAGAGCTGCATAAATTCTCATCTCAAATAACCAAAAATATATACACTTTTAAATACTGATTTACTGTCTGATTGCCCTAAAACTGCGTTTCATCAATCATCAATTTTCAATCAATTTTGATTCCTGATATAATTAAGCAGATTGGCAGTTTCCTCCGTGTTTAAAATTCTAAGAATACGGAAAGCAATAATTAGTTTTAAGGCATGCATTAGGAATGTTATCTGTATAGCCGCGTTTAGTAATTTTGCATGCAACATTGTGATGGAACCCAATCTCAACATGTATCTTGAGTATGCCTAATTTGATTAAATAGAAGTTTTCAACCGGATTCGAGATTTTGCAAAATATTTGAAATTTATTTTTTGTCACTGGTATTAGATTTTTGTTAGAAGGGCTGTGAAATCTTAGTGCTAGTATTTGTTTGTTTAATGTTTTTGACCAAAAGGAATATGTATGTGTTTTTTGATACCATCGATAAAATGTTAATTTCTATTCATTACCGTTCGTGTACCTATATTTTGATATGTGATTTAATAACTATTTCAAATAATTTTCTAAACTGGTTTGACTGATATTTTAACAATGAAGGAGATAGGTGTATAGGGAAATTGTTTAGGAGTTCTAATGAAATATAATGTGTTATTGGCCAAACATGTTATTATTTGTTAAATAATACATATGCAATAATCCAACTTATTTATTTGCATATCTTAAACTCCTAGTCTTCACACAGCCGACAGTTTTATAAAAGGAAAACAACAATACAGGTAGTACAACTAAAATTAAGTACACAGCTAAGTGTTCGAAACGACTAGGTGACCATAAATTAGTAAATCTCAGTTCGTTGTTCTCTGAAACAAAATTTCCACTTTATTATTAGATTCAGAAACCATATACGGTACCTGTAATTTTGTATGATTAGAAACTACCGAACATGGAAGTGCAAAGAAGTGTGTAAAAATTCCATTAAAAATATTTATATTGAAGCTCGATTAAATCAAGACGTTTTTGAGGCTCATTTTACAATTTTTCTAGGAAATAAATTTATATCGAAGGAATTTCTGAACTTTCATTTAAGCGAGTTTCAGCTTATTTTAAAGCCCAACTGATATTGCACATGCAACTACTATTAGATATTTAAATTTTGGAGTGTAATTATAGCACCAAGGATCCTTACCAATTATTGCAAATCCATATCCAATTTTATTAGTCCCCATTCGATAGCTACARGTGGGAATTAGAATCTCGTACATGTTTTGAACTCCCAACGCGTATTCATAAATCTGATCACTTTCGGGAGTAATGGGGACAATGTGATAATCTTTSTGGAGCAAAGCATCTGTGCTAATAATCATGGATTTATGCTCGTGAGCAGTAAAAAGTACATGCGGCTGCATTTTGTTGATGACCTTAAATATCGTTATTGTGTTTTAAGCGAAACGAAAACATATTTAAAGTAAAAAGTACCTTCTCTGGGAATGGGGAAGGCCGAAACATTAAGGGTATGTGGCTCAGACCTACAAATATCTTGCTAGTGTCGAAGAAGTCTCTCTCCTTTTTATATGCTGGAATGATGTGAGTTAGACGATTTATTTTGAAGAGGGTGACATTGCCGACAGTATGAAAACTAGATTGGGAAAAAGCCCGTTCGAACCTTTGCAGCTTTTTTGGTGTTACATCAGTGTCTTCTCCTCCAATGTCGTTGTCCCCAGGTAGCCAAACATGCTGAATTTTCAAACAGTCAACTGCATTGATCATTTTATACTTAATCCAAGGGCCAAAATTACCTTAACGTTATTATCAAGTCTATAAGGATTCAGGAATATATTGAATATCCTCCTTACGTAGCTATTGAAGTCATCATCATTTGCTATGTGTGCTTCATCCATTAAGTCTCCAAGAAACACAACCACATGCGGTTTAGCATAGTTATAGGCATAATAGTACGTTATTCTCAAGAACCTTCAATTTTCAAGATCAATCGCCAGTTTATATTTACCGTTATATATATATTGTATGTATTTTAGTTTACCTGTCGCTATCAAAAATAGTGAATGGGCTCAAGGGCGGGAATATTTCATTTAAATTGCCAATAATCTGGGGATCAGCTACAAGAAGAATTTTTATGCAGTCTTTTTTGTTTCGACAAGTCATGAAAGGCCATGAGCCCGTTTTCAATTTATATATTAAAAACTCTGCATAAAACGCGTACGATAATGTTAAAATTGTCCAAAAAGTCAGACATATTTTTTTCTTGGATAACCTGTAACAAATAAAGATATTCTATTATAAATTATAAACATTGAGTAATCAGTTTCTATAAATTGGGCAAATTATAAATGCATAAAACATTTAAAATAATGTAGTTATCAACCTGTAATAAAAGACGTGAGGAAATTGTGGCATTTTAAAGACAAAAATTAAAGACAAATTAAGACAAAGTTTATAAAAAAATTTAAAATAATGCAAGTTTTCTAGAAACATAAAAATATTGTCTTGGGGATTAGGTCTGGACAGTGGTAAGAAACAAAACGTTTTTAGGTACCAAGTTTACGGCAATTTATTTTTGCCTTCATCAGCAAGCATATTGTTCGGTTTCGAAGGTCTGAGAACTCTCTAGAATTTTTCCGATTACATTATTTTCATTCTAAAGGTAACTGGGATATAAAATTATTTCCCTGAGTCATATTAACAGCGTCAGTGGTAGTCAATGATTAAGATTAACATTCTGCAGAAAAAGAGAGATCAGACAAAATTTTTGAAATTGTTCTTGTATCGGTCGGGAAGATTTCTTTGAGTCTTGCAACTCACGATATTTAAGAATTATTCGGTTATTTAATTAATAATTCTACATATATATTTCTGATTATTGAACAGCAGTAGTACCGACTTGTGAGCAGGTAAACTTCAAATTAAGATCAGTTTGCATGTGTATGGATATTTAGGTCTAAAACAAGTTGATATAATGAATGACAATTGTAAAACATTTCTATTGGACGACTGATAATTTAAGTCAACTTGAGTCGTTCGAATCGAAAAGGATGATAATTTTTTACTGATTACACAGCGTATTTTTTAATGAATTAAATAAACAACAAATTTACATTTGTCTAATAAGAGTCTTTGTAATATACTGAGGTAAAATTAAGTCACTTTACGAGTAGTACCTACATACTTTCTGTTTACTGTAAATAGAATAGAACAGTATAGAATTGAATTTTTAAAGCATTAAATCTGAATTAACTCTGCATAACGATTTTTTATATCTGGTAACCAGTTTTTAAAAAGTATTCAAAATGAGCGAAAAGTACGTATTTTCTTATATTTAATTGAATAGGGAACAAAGGTGAAATATTAGTTGTTGAGGCTGATAAAGCACTCGACAATGAAATATATTGGAAATCAGATAAACTACAACCAATTAAATGAACCAACTAAAATTCAATTTAAAGATTAGTGATGATTTATCCAGATGTCCTAAAAAATTGTAATAATACTGTCTGAAAAAAGCCTTTAAAACAAGTGTCCGATACCTTTACCGTAAGAAAAATATACGCACTGCACTGAATCTATAATAGTGAAATAGGTATATAGCGTAGCAAAGTGTAGTGTACAGGATTTAAGAAAATTAAGGTGTTTGCTTAGTAAACAGGGGATATAAAGTCGCGCATTGATGTAAAAAAAATGTTTTTACTCTCAACACATTTTTTACTCTACAAGATTATACTATCAGATCTGGAATTCAAAGTGTTTTTTTTAGGTCAACATTATCAACATAGTTTTTTAATTCGCACGTGCAAAGGTTTGATATCGGTTTATGTAGTCAGTGTTTATTCATTGGTTGATGAATCATTTGTGTTTGTTGGTTTTAATGATTTTCCTATTAATACGAAACAGAAATATAATATTATTCACTAGAATTCGATCCGTCCTAACGAGATGAAATAAGCTTATTTCATTTATAGAAGGAATGTTTAACTTTAAATATTTACAATTCCGCAATTCGCAATTCGCCAACTTGAGTAATACATGGTAAAAAATTCCGCTTCGCGCGTATTAAAGAATACAGGATTTCACATTTTTAGCGCAAACCGCTTATAAAATATTCTTTCTTTCTTTAAAAGGTCTAGTGAATAGAAGTTCTTGTTTCGAAAATCAAACGACGTTATTTCTGGGCAATGAGAACTGAGATTTTATTTGATATACACATTTGCCTGATGAAGTGAAAAATGCTAATATTGATAAGATGTTTTCAAATTTTTCCAATATTGCTACTAGTTCATATTATCTAGTTTTATTGGTATCCTTTTATAACGAGCGATATGCTAAATAACATTCATTGTATTGCTAACTCTAGATAATTCGTATTTGTATAATTTTATACGATTTACATCACAGCCTAATATTTAAGGGTGAGGAAGTGAAAATCCAAGGGAGTTACATAAAAGAGTTCATCTAACTTTTAAATATTTAGTGAATTAATTTAATGAGAAAAAATGATCCCTTAAATAAGCTATATTTTAGAAATCAGTATAGTAAATGGGGCAGTCAAATTACTGAATAAATTGCATACACACCTTAACATTTTAGGCGCTATATCACTCCATCATACCTTTAGAAACTAATGAAAACTATAAATCTGTAAAAAACTACATATTTATGAAAAACTTGTTATTTATTATGAAATGTCACAACCTCAAACATTCTGTCATTTTTGGAATTAAATTTTGAAAAGAAAAGTTGGAATATTAATAAATGTTTGGGTATTCAAGCAAATTAGAGAGAAAATTGACTTTATTTAAATTAAATAATTGAATTAAAAAAGTCAAATTTTTTAAATAATGGTAAAACCGGTATGTATACTAGACACAGGCACATCATAACCTCTGAAGCCTCTAAAGCAGGTTAACCCTACTTAACTGATCATTGTTATTTGATTAGCAACATTTCAATCGCTAAAAGTGGCCCGAAATATTTCCCATGTCGTCTATGACTTTTAGCCAAAAGATCTTTAAACCTACCCCTCCAGAAAAGGGCAGTTTTCCGTTAGATCACGAAGGACTTTGCAAAACGTCTATGGTAAAGTATATGAAGTGTTTGTATAAGGAGAACAGTAAGAATTCCGAGTGCCGTTTAGAAGCTAAAGGTAAACGTAGCCAAGCCCTACCGCATAGTTGCCCTACACTGGTTGCTTGTAGAATATCTTGATTGCCGCATGAATAACAATCTGATGGCCAGAGAGGAATGGTCAAGGCTCGGCTTTCAAGATCTTGAAAGTGAAACCGTATCTGTGGACAAACAGAACTAAAAATGGTTAATATTCTAATAGGGTGTACAGGGAGTGTTGCCACCATCAAACTTCCACATTTAATTCAAGAAATTTATCAGCAATTTGAAAAGATTCATCATAATATCAAGGTATGAAAAGTCGACTTTATAGTTGTCGCATTTCACATCTTTTAAGATTCTTCTATTATGACTTGATTTTGAATAGTTAGTGTTTTTTATATCCCATTTTCTCTACTTAATGTATATTGGGTGGTTTTTAAGATTAGGGTTGTCACCACTGAACATGCAAAGCATTTCTTTGATCCCAAAGATCTTGGAAATGTAGATGTTTTTTGTGATGAGGATGAATGGAACGCGTGGAGCAAACGAGGTGATGAGGTTTTACATGTTGAACTAGGCAAATGGGCTGATATTCTGTTAATAGCTCCCCTCGATGCTAATTCTCTTGGAAAAATTGCCACTGTAAGCAGAGTGTATTCCTTTAATTTCATCACTCTGAGTATCATAATTTTAGGGAATTTGTGATAATATTTTACTCTGCACAGCCAGGGCATGGGACGTTTCAAAGCCTCTAATCTTTTGCCCAGCAATGAACACTAAAATGTTTATTCATCCAATCACAGCAGTTCAAATAACAACGTTAAAGTCATGGGGTTACATCGAAATTCCTGTTATTCAAAAAACACTTATGTGTGGTGACACTGGTTTAGGTGCAATGGCTGAAGTGTCTTCTATTGTTCAGACTGTTATCGATGTGGTAGAAAAAATGTAATTTTTTTCAATTTGTAGTTATGGTGGTTTTTTAAGTGAAATAAAAGCGTTTATAACGAAAGCTAATTTTTCGTCACTATTCCCATATTGCCGATATACCGTTTAAAATTATAGGATATATGTCGGAACTGTTATTGAAATAAGCATTTTCATTTGAAAGGGAATTGCAATTTTTTCTRTGTTCATAAATTCACAGGGTMATCTATGAATATTTTCATGTTTAGAAAATACTGTTAACGCAAATCCCAAAAAGGTTTTAGCTTTGGGTCTTCTCGGCGATACTAATAGAAAGTTAAGTTTAGTTTAAAAAAATGTTTTTTGAAAAAATGGACTTGAATTTCGGTACGTTAACAATTAATTGAATAGTAGAGGATAGCTTTTATTTTTATTTTTTTATTTTTCTCACTGCTCGTTGCATTCGTAGAAATTTGTATCATGTTCCTCTGTATATCACTAATAGTTTTAGTTTGCTCAAGCTCAGTTCCTGAATTATGAACTGTATTATTACTGGGAGTATATCAAAGAACTATTCAACTTTATCTAAAAATTTACTTTTGCTCAAAGTTGTTCGTTATTGTTTTGTTACGTTAATTATGCATATCATGAAAAACCCTGCATCTGAACAATGAGGTGCACATTTGGCCCTCATGTATGGATCTTTTGAGTCCTCGAAAGAAGCAATTGAATTCTAGAAATGTTCACAGCCAGTACAACGCTTTCAAAACAAAGTTTTTAAAACTATTTCTGTGAAAAACCTAGACTTTATTCTTGAAGGTGCCAGGTCAATCAAGTTTCTGAAAAAACAACATAAAAAATGGACATTTTGCAAAATAATGAAAACCCATATCAACTTTTTCACTATCTCGTAATAGCAACATCGCTTTACATCGAAAAGTTTCAATTTGGGATTGCATGGCATAATAGAATGGAAAGGTCAAGAAAGCACAAAAAGTATATATTTTATCAAAAATCCTCGAATAATCTTGTTTTGTAATACATCCTTTATTTTCATGATTTAATAATAAGTGTTTTCATGATATATTTCAACAGTAATAATAATCACACGTAAAAACCTTTACATAAATATAATAAATATGTTGCCGTTAAATGAGTAGAGATATACAAAAGAAAAAAACACCAACAAAATGTATAACAAAGTGTAACAACGTAGAGTAAGATCATTTCCTTAATGTTGATTTTTTCGCTCTCACGTTGGGAGGTATCATTCGCTTCCAAATTTGCAACCTTTTCTCAAATAAAGCAGCTCGCTCTTTGTCAGTTAAATACAGTTCTTCGTCTATAGCGTCAATATATAAGTCACTTAATAAACCGGATTTGTAGCGCTGAAAATTATTTACTAATTTAGTAGCATTCGATAATAAATAAAGAACGTTTACTTGTAATTTACCTTGAATTTGTTTCGTCTATAAATAATTTCTTCTTCCGACACTTCCTTCAGATGACAGTATATTTTAAAAATAACGTCTGCAATCGAATCGATATTATCGTCGATTAATATTTCACCTAAAGTAACTTTTTGAATGAGTGGACTTAAGGGTATGGGTTCCTTCTTAATCATCCATTTTCGATATAATTCCAAATAACGTAATTTGCAACAGAATATATATGTTTCGCTTATATCGTCTAAGATCAGAGATGGTTGGAAGGTAAATTTTATTCTCTTGTGCGTAAATTTTGTTATTTTCAAGCCGGGCAAATTGAAGATTGTGTCCGTTTGATTTGCTGCAATGTCTTCAAAGGCCAATTTTCTTTCTTCTTCTCTTTCTTCGGTTTCATTTGCCCGAGTGGTCATCGTTTCACTCCTCGAGCTTATATCGACTGCAATACAGGACGACATTTAATTGATGCATTTTTTTGGCTTTAGCAAATTAGATTGAACAAACTGATGTTTGCTTTTATTAACTACTTTCCACTTTAATCCCTAGTAGCTCACAAAATCCTTGAAAATATCTTAGTGAATTAATTTTATTACGTATTAGTATTACGTAGACGTATTATTTAATATTTTATTTAAGAGAATTTTATGGAAATTGTATASGAAAAATAGGAAATTTCTGACTAACTCGTCGTTTYTAAACGAACGAAYAGTAGGTAATCAATTTTATTTCCTMGATAATTTTTAGTGTGTAGTTTTATGAGTTAATTTACACTTTTTCCATTTAGAGGCCAGCACAAAAATGGGAAATATTGAAAAACTCTTCCGTTTGACACTCTTCCTGCTTACTATACAGGGAGTTTTCAAATTCAATTAAAACTCAGCAAGTGTATTTAAGACAATACAACCTATGTTTTTAACAGATAGGGTTTAGAAAGGCACACTTTGAATSTACAGATCCTAAGTTSCGTAATTTCGTTCATTACGATCGTAGTTTTGCGTTAAATTATTTTTATTATACCTGTTTGCACAAWAAATTTTGATTTTCAAAAGCTAATGATGGTCGYAATATCAGCASACAGCCAAAATGTTCAAAATTTTTTGCGATCTAATTAGTAAAGAAAAAATCATAAATTTCAATTCTCTGAATTTCCTTGGTACARAAAACTGTTTGGGAGAAACATGGTTTTTGGCAAAATACACGAAACACGCGCGCACAAAAGRAATAATTACTTTTACTTACATCGTTTATATTCAATTTATAATATATTTAAAGCTTGAAATCTGCCGTTTAAAATAACTACTTAAATATTAGAWTAGTTTGCTGCRTRTCGAAAAAACTGAATAACAATAGAATATATAAACATAAAATAAAAAGTKTTATAGCTTATGACACCAACGGAAGACAAAGATGAGGGTAAAAAAGATCTGTTTTACGACACTTTGGACAGGAAACTAGCCCAACTTSCCAAACAAKACATGTCACTCATCTTGGGAGGTTTCAWTGCGAAAATTGGACAASAAAAGGCGCTAAGACCTCTTGTGGGCATGCACAGCCTGCACGATGCTTCCCACCACAATGGTCTGAGAGTGGCAGATCTTGCAGCAAGTAGTATGTTAATAAAGTCCACCACTATGTTTGAACACCAAGATATACGCAAAATGACATGGGTATCTAATGATGGCSTAACCAGGAACCAAATAAATCACGTTATAATTGATACAAGGCAGGGAMGTAATATACTAGACGTGAAAAGCTGCAGGGGAGCAGATGCCGATTCAGATCATTTTCTGGTCAAAGCCAAGATCAAAGCTAGAATATATACAGTTMAGAACAAGCGAACCAGTCGTCTCTCTCCTGAGTAGGATACAGAAAAGCTTCAACAGACAGAGATAAGACAGTATAAGAAAGAACTAGAGCGACTTATCAGAGAAAACACTAACACCACGTACAATACTAATATGGACCGTTATATCTGGAACAATTACAGAAGCAGCTAGAAATGTGGTAGGGAAGAAACCCAGTAGGCAACAGAAAAACCACTGGCATGATGAAGATTGCGAAGATCCTATGGAGCCGAGAAATACTGCTAGACTTTGACTGCCTAAGAAAAAAAGAGCCTTAAGAAAGACTGTTAGGAAGAAAAAACCGAGAATGACAAGACAGAGAATTGAGTGCACTAGAAGAAGGAAAAAATATCACGAACATTCTACCAAAAATTACGTTCTATAAAAGCAGGATTCAGACCCAGGACCGACAATATCTTAAAGAAGGAAAATGCATATGTATGTATGTATAACCGACAAAGTAGAAATGTTGCAAACGTGGAAAAACGCCTTCTATCATCTGATCAATGGAGGAACTGATGATGAAGGGGAAGCACTGTATCTGCCGACTGCAGAACAACCCAATGAGATCACTTCAACAGAGGAAATTACAAAAGCAATAAAGAAATTAAAAAATAATAAAGTCCCTGGAGGAGACTTAATTACAGCCGAACTTCTTAAATATGGTGGCAATAGTATCATAACACCGCCTGCAGCGCAACGACTCTCGTGACTACGGCCTCGAGATAGGTACTGTAGGGGGCGCGGGGATCTTGGTTTTACTACCCGGATCGCGTGACGAGGTCACTATAACACCTCCCAATGCTCACGGTATAGTGCGCGCCAAGAGATGCAAGGCTGGGGGGAAGCTTAGCCAAAGGCGACTAACCTTGGGGCAACAGGCGCACCTCATTGTATCAGCCTTACCCACACATGCGGGGCTCTGTGTGGATGGACCTAACCCTTCCCTAGCTACTCGTGGGAATGATGGGGTGGAAAACACCACCATCATACACCACAAAATACCGGCGGGACCTCCTCAGAAGAACCGTCAGGATCCGCAGCTGGCAAAGTACCGAAGGGTGGTAAAAAACTCTCGGGGGCCGGCAGGCGGAAAAACCACCAAAACTATGCTAGGTAGACCCTCAGGGGAACCAGCACACACCAAAAAAGCTGCCATGACCGGGACGCAAAGCGACACCGGTCGGATGGCAGCACACCCAACAAATCAGCAACTGGGCGGCTGTATGTGGGAACTTCCGTATAGAGAGGAACCACACACAAGTCGTGCAAGATTGCGGTTTCCGGGATTAAGATGGCCATAGCGGCGGTCGGATACCCCGAGAAACTCATAAAGAGGCACCTGCTTGGGAAAATCAACGAGCTGCAGCCAGAGATGACTACCAGACCAGGTCATGTGTCGTACCTCCCCCCCTCAAGATTCTTCTGGAGTTCATTGAATACACAGGGATAATGAGGGAGTAAAATACGAGGGCACAATAGGGCAGAAATGACCGCGGTGCAAGGCCAAACACCACCTCGGCGGTGAGGAAAGGGTTTTAGTGGGTAAACAGCTTAGCTGGAGTCCCACACAACCCAGAGTGACAGACCACCAGCTCTGGGAGTGCATAAAAGAGCATTTCCCAATCCTCACCGAAAAAAGAAGCTATCCCTGATGACTGGAAGGTATCATCATACCGATCCACAAAATAGGCGATATGTCGGTCTGCAAAAATTACGTACACTAATCAATGTAGCCTATAAAGTCGTAACGAACCTACCAGTGCGGTTTCCTATCGAACCTACCACCATCACCCATGCTTTTTAATATCGCATTGGAGAATGTAGTAAGAGAAGCCAAAATCGAAACTCATGGGGGCTTAAAGTCAACGAGACAAAAACAAAATACATGTATGTCTCAAGACCAGGCAGAGCTAAGATAGGACAAAATGTGACCATGGACACATAAAACTTTGAAAATGTAAAACAATTTAATTGCTTAGGGTACACATCGGCCAACGACATGAGTGAAGAAATCAGCGAACGCCTAAAATCAGCCAACAGCTGCTTACACGCCCTATAGGATATACTAAAGTCCAAATACGTGACTAAGAGAACGAAAATCAAAACGTCTAAGACCATGATAAGACCCGTGGTAATCTACGGCTGCGAAACCTGGACTCTTACGGTGCCAAATGAGTAACTCATTCGAAGATTTGAGAGAAGAGTGCCGAGGAAATACAACCAGCCAGAACTGATTAACCTCATAAAGACACAAATGTTGAGATGAGCAGGGCACGTACGAAGACAGCCAGAGGATAGAATGGTCGGCTAAATATGGGCAGAGCAGCAGAAGGAAGAAAACCACTTGGAAGACCGAGATTAAGGTGGCGTGATAATATAGCATCGGACTTCCGGAAAATGGGCATCGAGAATGGTCTAGACGTTATGGAAGACCGAGACAGATGGAGCCAAATTGTAGCCTCAGCCAAGGCCCACCAGGGGCTGTAGCGCTCGGAGTAAATTATAGCTGCCAAATGAAACATCTGACCCAATTTTTACGATTGAATCTGTAATCTTATGTTATAAATTTGGACATGAACACTGCGTTTTTAGAAAGATTCGTTTTGGATGTTTTGCATAAATCGGGAGATAAATTTAAAGGAATAATTCACATTATCGAGAAGCTTCAGCCCGACCGTCCAAGCTATGTTTCAGAATTCACATTATTCCTGAATATTTCATCCGATAGGTTGAAAGATTAGCGCATTGCTAATGGAAAAATGAATAATTTATGTTAAATATTAAATTCAACATCCGACGGCATTTTTCTGTAATCTTGAAACGATTCTTCTATAAACATTACTTTTAAAGTTTTAAGAGTTAATAGTTAATTATAATTTTATAAATTGATGAGTTACTTCCTAGATGAAATGTCCTTGTCCGAATTATGTTGCAAAATATGCCTTGAAACGGGTATAATTTTGCATGTTTACACGATTATACGACTTGCTTCTGCATTAAAAATCCGCTATTAAAATTTTGCTTCTAATTTAGATGTATCCGACCTCTGACACCTAAAAAATAAGGTAGGTATGTTACTTTCTCTCAGAAAAAGCTGTATGTATATTCAAAATGAATATTTGGAAATACCAATTTGCATTGAAAAATAATACGTTAAATATATTATACAGATGTGAATTTTGAATATTTTATTCATTCATTCATAATAGGTAGTACCTACATACCGGGTGTCAATTTGAAAACTTCCCACCCTTAATCTCTTTCTTGTAGTTGAAAATATGAAAAATCGGAAACTCGTCAATTTTATTTGTAAGGGGGACACTTTAAATTAATATTTTTAGCCTCCTTGTTTAAACCCCCTAGGACGGGTAGATGTCACCCTTAAAATTTTAATGAGAAGGGGGTCAAGTGGCACTTCGTTTTAAAGGGTGTTCAATTGTCTTGTCATTAATTACTACTTTGTTGCTTTTTAGTCAGAGGTTTTCGAATAATCGCGTTTCAAAGCTGTAGAAACAATTAAACTTGCGTACACTCAGATATTGGTATACTGTTATTGGAAACTTAAACAGAAAAAATAATAATAAAATCCTCTTTCCACAACCTTGGTACGTTTCGGGGTATTAGGACAAGATAGTTTTTTTCCACTTCAAGTAATAACAATTTTTATAATTAAATAGTTTAAATGTAATTTTTCATGGCGGATCAAGTAATCTAGGTAAGAAGTACGATATTATCAAAATCTATAACTCTAACTCTTTACTTACGAAATGTGAATTCATCAGAATCTGACCATGAACTCATCTCGAATCAATCGTTTTTCAAACGTTTTATGCTGCTCGAACTGTTCACTTTACTTTCACGTTCACCTTTAAAATAATAAATGGCGCATCAACCAAAAGTAATCTGAATACCCATGAGTAAAAACGAAGAATAGGTATGTATTTTGTTAACATCGCTGCTTCATCGACTCGTAAATTTCAACCATGGGCATGCCATAAACATTTGCTTATTATTGCAAGTTTTATTCCGTTGTGGATTTTGTACAAAACTATTCATAACCGGCCATCGGTCATATGAAATTAAGTTATCTTGTGTGGAGTTAACTAAAACGTTTTGGTTTTACTAAAGTTTCTGGCTCGTGTTCAGTTTTGTTCCGGAGTTTTAAAGAGGCCTAATTTGACTGAAAAAAAATTAATTCAATTGACTAATAGATCCAGTTTTGCTCTTAGGTAAGGTGACTCGCTCCCTTCATTCACGAACTTTCGCAACTGACAAAGCGTTTGAGAAGTTCGAAATAAACCAGCTGCTTAAACCACCTTGTGACCGAATGGTCGTTTCTCCAATGGGCAAAAAATCGGATACAATTATGCGCAGGTATTTAAACGGCACATTTGTTTCAATACCTGCAAGTCTATGCATGTTTAAACACCAGCGATTTTTTGATAACTACGGAAATATAATATCTAAATAATAAATAAATAGATGTATGTAAAATAATACTATTGAAAATCACTGTTAAACAAGAACAAGACATTTTACCGTCTCTTTCGTACGCAGTATCATTCTCTTACCGGGCATGATTCAATTTTAAAAATAGAAAATTTTTCTGGAAAAGAAAAGGCTTTATATTTCATATACCTACGTGAATCGACAGATTAACGAAACTATATCAAAGTAAACAAACATTTTGATACAGCCAAGAAAGTATTAAATAAAAAGTATAAATTACATATTTGTACGTTGAAATTTGTTAAATAGGACAATAAAAAATTATATTTCATATGAATCGGCAATGTTACTATCTTAAATTAGACTGTCTTCAGGCTGTTATGTTCGAAACAATGTCAATAAATAAATAAAAAATTGCAGCATGGAGCAAATAAATAAGAAAAGTGCAATTTCAATATTTACACTCAATTCGAAAACATAGCAAACCTATGTGTGTTTTGATAATCCAACAAAAATAACACTAACTTAGCAAACACTTTTGTAAAAAGTATATTGTTGAATAAAATTCATTTAAATAACATGATTCTCTTATTTTTCATTTAGTTAATTCAAGCTATAAAATAAGCTCTTCGGAACTCGAACGCTTTTCAAACTGATCAGTTTTATTTTCTGTTTTGAAACTCAATACTCTGCCATGGAACGCTCCATAACTGTAATTGTCCATTCTTGTTGCCAAGAACTACGAATTTTGTGCTGAAAGTATAAAAAGTATTCTTACTTAATTCAACTTTATGCACAAGGTAGCCATTTTCCGACTGTCCGCATTCTCTTATGTGCCTAAAGATCAAGTGAAAATGTACATTAAATCCTTGCACGATTTCGGAAACTGGCCACAATGTGTATACACAACAAACAAAGTTATTAAGTAAGTAACTAAATTCACAAACATACTTTCCACTGTTCACAGCCAAGCTCGTTAAATTGCTTCGTGTGATTTTTGCATTAAATGATAGTGGAACGGATTTGCCACTGATTAAGTGATAAACTTCCATAGTCCCGTGTTGCCCACAAGCTGCCACCAATTTTTCCTCATGAGGGATATAAGAAATATCGTTTAAAGGGGATTTCGTAAAAATTACTTGAGCGGGTTCGTCCTAAAGTATTTAAATTAGTTTGTTACATGTTAAATTTTTTTACTTGCCTGATCGATTCTGTAAATTCGTATCTGTCCATCAGTGCCGCTTGTAAGAAACAGGTCTTTTCGATCGGGCGAAAATTTGATGGCGACAATTTCCCCCTTGTGGGGTTCGTAGTATTTGAAAACAGGATCATAAAAATACGTTTCCGTCGCTGTTCCTTCAACCATCAGAGCAAACGTATTTTTTTCTTACGTCTTTTATGCATATCTATTACCTACCTTTTAATTGAGTTGTTCCCAACATGGTACATCGTACTATTAAGCCTCCTTCTAAAGCTACAATAAATAAATCGGGGATGTTCTTAGAAAAATCGAATCCAACAAGACCAAGTTGTCCTTTGTCTAGCAGTGCCTCGGAAACCTCAGTGGTTTGGTTCATCTTTGCCAAAACCGGGGTTTTAATTTTATATCTGAAAATAAAATAAATAAGTCGATATGACGAGCAAACGCATTTTGTGGCTTATGACTGGAAACCGTACGTAATTTTTATTTTTAATATGTTATTTGTTATGTCGAAGTTCCATAGTTTGAGTAACCCATCCGTACTGGAACTAGCTAAACACACACTGTTAGTGGCATCGATATAATTCATCCAGGATATTTGAGTAATGTACTCATCATGGGCTAAGATGTTGCAGATCAGTGGATCTACATCGTTTTCTACATTCCAAATGTAAATTTGACCTGCAAAATGAATCCAAACTTCCTTTAAAATCTTATTTTCTTAACAAGTCAAGTTATTTCGACCTGTGAAGGTTCCAGCTGCCAGTATTCCACTGTGAATGGGGTGGTATTTTATACTAGTTACACAAGATTCTGTCGAGAGCCTTTTCTTTGGAGTATCTGATAAACAATCTCTAAAAATATTAGTTCAATTTTTGAGTTAGTCTAGTTTAGATAAACAATTTTCAAATATCCTGCCTGTTTAATGTGTATATGCAGATTATTCCTGCATGGTGACACCATGTTCTGTGCTTGTAATTGTAGGGAACCGCTAAACTTTTTCCTGAGTTATTCCATTGTAAGGAAGCAATAATCGGTATCTAAAATTCCGTTTACAGACTTTTTTCTGGTCATCAGATTGTTTTACTTACGGCTTTACTTCCAGTCTCTCCTTTCGACGCCACTTGCAACGTCTGCACCAACTTGCAAGTAGCATCAATCGGATCATCCAGTAGACGATAATTCTGGAAAATTCTGGAGTTATTTGAGTTGTCGATTTGCTCCTTGACCTGGGGGTAAATTTTGCTAAGCCATTTGCCTAATTTCTCCATGTCGACATCGGTTTGAGTCGGTTCGGTTTTTTCCGTTTGTACTTCTTGGGACTTTCTTTCGGAAGTATTACTGCCAGTTTCCGTTGTTCGAAATTCTGTTTGGCAGGAATTGTTGGCAGATACTCTAAAGTTAATTAGTAATAGTGTCGGGAGTTTTCTCCATACGCTTCACTTACTTTTTCACTTTCCACTTCGATTCGAAACCCACACATTCGTGATGTTTCACTGTAAACATTGTATTATTATTATGAAAACGTGCAGCTCAATGCATGAGCTTCACTGAGTTGACGAACTAATCAATTCTTTGCTGGAGTTGTTTGTATTTTACATCAATTCGTATCTATGGGAATAACGAATATCTTCGTTTAATGGATTTTTAAATGTTTTTACCATATAAATTCCACATGAGATCTGCATGTTATTGAGAATCATTCTTGCATCTTTTATATAATGAATTACACAAGAGTATATCAATATTATTATGGAATTTTTTGCATTTTAAGAGTGAAATTACCCACATTTTGCCTTAAAGAAAAGTATGATGAATAAATCAGAAACACCAATAAGCCAACATTTATATACTAATAATAACTCAAACTATCTAGCAATCTGCCCTGAATGTTTTTAGTCTACGCTCTATTCTTTGGCGGATTTTTTTCGATTTTTTTTAACATTTTTCATTCATTGATTTCACAAAACCAATCATTGCAAAATATCTATACAACAAGTTCTGAGATCTACAACTAAGTATATTGGGTAAAATATATTTTGTCGTTGTTTCGAAAAAAAAGGAACTCCTAGTTTGAGTTACGAAGTGACTTACATACTTTAAATTAGATTAAAAAATGGTTGACTAAAGACAGCGCTTTTAAGAAAATCTAAAATTACAAATTTCTACAAAACACGAATATTTTACAGAAACTTTATAAAAAATTTGTTTTTTTACTTTCGGCATTTTAGCAAGTTTGAGGTTGTTATTTTTCTCATGAGGTAGATTTTTCAAAATAAATAAAATTTCAAAGTAAATTGTCTCTTAGTTTATATTTCAGTTCTGAAGCATCCAAGACACTTGGGCTTTAGTCGTGCGAATTTCTGTTTTTTACTTTTCCCGTTTTTAACATGGAGTTTTTTTCCTTGATGGTGTAAAAACATACAGACGAGAAATTCGAGGAGAAATTCATCTTCATCTTCTTATTCTTTGTAAAGACCTTTGGTTTGTTTATTTCGTCTGGTCAATGTTCTTGATTCTCCTGTGATATGGATGTCCAACTATTCTTTCATCTTTTCGGTGGTCTTCCGATGGGTATTTTACCAGCTGGATTTCCATTCGACACAATCTTGCCTATTCTTTCTACATGGTCCCGCCAGCATCTTCTGCGCTTTCGTCCCCATCTGATTACATTCTCCACCTTGCAGGTCTGTTTTATTGTTGCGTGTTTTTCGCGCTATTGACCTTAGAGTCTTCATCTCTGCCGTTCTTAACATACATTTTCTTTTGTTTGTGTTTGCTCAGGTCTCGATGCCGTAGGTGAGTGCAAGGTGAGGAGACATTAATTTTCAAAAAACCAAAATAAATTAGTTCTCAATTTATTTTTCTTCTGACGCGTTGAAAACACTTGGGCTTTAGACGTTCGTTATTCCATTTTTTTCTCCAGTTTTCAACATACATTATTTTAGAGGTTTTCTTTTGGGCGATCGTGCAAAAACATGGAAACGAGAAATTCGAGTTGGAAGTTATTTTCAAAAAGAAATATAAATTAGATCGCAGTTTGCCTTTGAATTCTGAGCCGTCGAGTACACTTGGGCTTGGGGAAAAATAACCACTAAAGTCGTTATTTTTCCAATATTCAACTTAATTATTTTTTAGTTTTTTTGACCGATCGTGTAAAAACATACACCGAGAAATTATAGTCGAAACTTATTATTCAATTCTGAAGCATCAGAAATACGTGGGCTTTATTGTGGCTTATTCGCGTGATTTTTATTCAAACTTTTTGAGTTTTCAAAATAAAGTTTTTCTGATGTTGTGTAGTTTTCATGGGCCAATGAAAAAATAGTGTTTTATTTTTGCCACCATGTATTAACCGAAAACCCACAGACCTAAATAGGTGCTTTTACTGAAGATGATGAAGTTTTTCTGCTCAAGAAAAACATATGAGCGAAAATTATTCGAGTCAAGTTATTTAAAAAAAATAAATATAAATTAGTCCCTCTTTTGGGCTTTCGTCGTGCCTTTTTTACTTTTCCAGTTATTGACATTATTGTTTTAGAGTTTTTTTGCTCGATGGTGTAAAAACATACAATAAAGATTTTTTACATATTCTTCTTGAAATGCCAATATTTATTCCAAATATTGGCGATGATCCTGGATATCATGACTTTGTTCACGACTGCTTTAAACAGCTCAATAGTAGTTTTTGAGAACCACGTTCTTAAGTTTTTAAGCCATGATATTCTCCTTCTTTCTGGTGGTTTTCTGCCAGAAACTTTCCCTTGGAGGACGGACTTTAAAAGTTGATATTTGCTTTTGTTCCTCATAATATGTCGGAGGTACTCAAGCTTTCACTTAATGGTGTTGATTACTTCCAATTCCTTTTTCATTCTCTCCATCACTGCTCTGTGGGTGACTCTGTCCACCCATGATATTCTCAACCTCCTCCTGTAAAGCCACATTTCGAAGGATTCGAGTTTTTTTGTGTTGCCTCGGTTAATGTCCATGACTCCGTCCCATAGAAAAGAATCGAGAAAATACAGCATCGGAGGAGTCTGATTTTGATGTCGATGTTGAGGTCGTGACTTGTAAACAGTTTGCCAAAGGTGGCCCTTGTTTTCTTTATTCTGCACCTGATCTGTGTGTGGTCCCAATTATCATTGATTATCTCTCTTAGGAATAGGTGAACTGTGTTACTCTGTCTATTGGTGTGTTGTTGATCGTTAAGTCGTATCTTTCTCCAGTTTCTCTACTGATTACGATTAATTTGGTTTTGCTAATGTTAATTTCTAAGCCATAGTTACTGCTGACGTCCTTTATTCTGTTCATTCGTTCTTGTAAGTTGTTTATGTTGTCAGTGAAAACCACAGTTACATCTGCGTACCGGATGTTGTTCATTCGTCATCCGTTCAGCAGAATTCCTATTTCGGCATTCTCAAGGGCCTCTTTAAAGTTTTCCTCGGACTAGACTAAATATGAGCGGTGACAAGATAACTCCTCAAAGAATGTTTACTGTGTCGATTTGCTCTTCCATATTAATTTTAATAGTAGCTAACTGATTCCAATAGTGAAGGTTTCGGATGATGCTTAGATATTTATCATCCATGCCCACATTCCTTTATCCTATCGAACGCCTTCTGGTAGTCCATAAAACATGCAAAAATATTACAGTTTATATTCCATTTACTGCTAAAATTGCCAAAAATGTTTCTTCGAAAAAAAAAACGATTGATATCAAAGGAATGAAACTATTTCCTGAAAACGAAGTTTAACAAGAAATATTCTGAGTTCGCAATATTTATTCAATACATTATATAAAATTGTAAATCACAATCAGTTATCATTTGTTATTTACTTGTATAATAAAAGTTCGTGTTTGCCCAGCTGACAAGGTAATGTTCAACGGATCGTCAAAAGCATTTATAACGGTGCTTCTTGTTAGGCGATTGTTGATATTTTCTTCTGTCCAGAGTTTTGGAACTGCTGAATTGAAGTCTGTAACAATGTTGTAGTCTTCATAACGCAAGTCTTCTAGACTCCCATTGGTAGCAAAATGGAGACGGTTGCTATCTTTCAACCATTGGTTAGCTCCTAATGTTGTTTCTTCCGCTGATAGTATTTCGAATGGAGTGAACAGGTTCTGAAAGGAAGTCAATCAATTTTTTTGTGGCAAACCGGTTGGTAAAGCAGATCTTACTGCAAGTGGTACAACTACAGGCTGTGATAATTCCGCGTCCTCATTGCTCTCGAATACATGTTCGAGCCTCAACAGGAAACTGAACCCAATCCAAGGCTCTAAAGTCAAAATCTGCACGTTGCGTGGAAGAGATTGTGTAAGTCCTGAAAACTGGACGAATCTTGTTAGTAATATTTGTATTATTTTAATGCAATTGGGTTTCATACTTGCGAATAATTAGAAATTTCATCATTATTAGTGAATGGTGTAATAAAGGTCCATGTATCCAAAAGTCGTCTTTGGGCAATATCTTTTGTAATAGCTGCAATTCCTTCACCTAAAAATAAAAATGACTATATTTTTTTGCATGTAAGGTTAAACGCTTTATGCTACACAGAACACTAAACTTAAGCTGATTTAGTTCAAAAACTATTATTTACAGCATAAGCAGAGTTAATTTTCTTGTTACATGGTTTCCGAATAATAAACTACAGAGTGATTCACAATCTTATGGACACCGAGCAGGTGCTTGTAGAGAACTTCAAAACAAGTCAAGTCTCCATTTAATTTTTTTTCTCAGGCTCGTGGTTCACGAGATGCAAGGTGTTAAAGTTTAAATTTTTTTTAAATTTTCTCTTTGGCTCCTACAGTTTATGAGATATTTTGCTCACATTTTTAACGTAGGCTAATGTTTGGACCCTTTACCCGTAAGCAGGGCGACTGGTTGTGAAAATCGACAGGGTGTTTTTTTTTCTACAGGCGTACCCCTTTTACCCCCCTGAACTTTTTTGTGGTGTGCCACTGACTTCGACCGAACAAATTTTTGAATTGGCTGTTCAATTTAAAAATTTTCTGATCTCTTGTATGTCTGATCACAAATATAAGTCCATGTAAAAATTTATTTCATAATAAATTGAAATATTTGTTACATTTTCGTTTATTTTTATTTGTATTAGCTTACAGCCGATAAACCCCAATTATTGTAAATTAAATTAACTCGTCAGCCATCCCTATTTTAACTTCAACTTGCAGTTGAAGCTTTCACAAAAAAATATGAACAAAAAGACAAAAACATTTATAAAAAAATCATAGAAAATCACCCGGAAACCTTACATGGACTTATGTTTGTGCAAATAACTCGAAAACGAAGACAGATACGAAAAAACTGCAAGGGAACAGAAAATTCTTAAATTGAACAGGTAATGCAAAAATGTGTTCGATTGAAATCAGTGGCGCACCATCAAAAAGTTGGTTGGGGTAAAAGGGGGTATGTCTCTAGAAAAAACAACACCCTGTAGATTTTCACAACCACTCGCCTTAGCTACGGATAAATTTTAAGACCCTGTATCATGTGAACCATGGACCTGAGAAAATAATCTTAAATGGAAACTCGATTTGTTTTAACAAACCATAAGGTTGTGAATCACCCTGTATAATAACTTTCTTTCGCATATTTCCATAAAATTCAAATCTTTTAATGTTAGAGGAGGTTTAGTGGAACGCTTTCAGTTATTATTATTCTCTTCTTCTTTCTGTTATTATACAGGAAATTGAAAATTTAGGGTTTCTGCGGTGTATTTTTGCCTCACTTAAATAAGTGTTTATTTAAATGAGGATTAGTTGACTTAACAACACTACTAAAAGGAATAGTTGGCTTTATTCGATGACTTTAATGATGCTAAATATAATTGAACTTACTTATAGTGTATGAAGAAACTTTCCGATTAGCATAACGCAACTTTGATTATGATTTCGTTCAAAGATACAGAGTGTGCTGTTCAGAGACTCTCTGTACATTATACATATTATATAAATACTATATATTTTGTAAAATGTCAGTTCATAAATAAATAAATTTGCAAGTAATTTAGTTTTAATTAATAAAAAGTTTGCGGTTAATCTTTTATCTTGCATAGTTTGAATGATCCTCTACAATTCTAGTTTTCTGGATTATGCGATTCTTAAATCAATGCTTAGGATTATCTTATAGTTTTGATTCTCAACTTTATTTTGAATTTGCTTAAAAAAATTACTGTTACCTAATTTTTATTTTGCCAATAACTGTAACCTTGTTTGGACTACTAAGAATTTAACTTTTGTTACCGACTCGTCTTAACTGTTTGGGATCGTGTACGCCATTTGTTTACACTATATTCATGCTTATTATATAAAAAACACTTTTTAACGATCTCATTGTTATAAAAAATTTGGCTTTACGGCATTGGAAGACGCAAGTAACTGAAAAAACATTTTTCCGTTCAAATCGAATTAAGTCCAAACCAATCCACTCAAGTAGGTTTGTTCAGAATAAATTGTGTGAGTAATTCAAACACTAAAAGTGTATCATTTGTTGAATAAATTAATAAGAAAACTAACTGTTGTTGGTTTGCCTGTGTCCTACGGTGACATAATGCGACCCTCTTACTACCAGGCCTTTACCAAAGGCGGTTTCGTTTAGTGCTTCACCCACTCCAAAGGCATCATCGTGCAAACAGACTCTATGAAGCTGCAAGATTCAATGAAACAAGAGACTTCTTTGATTTGGAGGGATTTTTACCATAACTTCAATTTCCCCATCTTTAAGACTTGAGCCTCCTTGCGCTCTATCCACAAGAACAACCAAATCCATATCTGCATCCTCATCTCGAATGGAAATTTGTGAAGTAATGGGATAGTAGTTGCCTGCAATTGGTTCTGACACGTTCAGCTCCCATGTTGGTCGAAAGTTTCTAACTCTCTTAAGATTTTCTTTTCCATTTGAGTCGGTGTAGAAAATCGAGTCTGATTTGAGGGTGGAAGTATATTTGGTGACCACTTCAATGCCTCGTTGTTGACTATCCAATAATAAAACTATTAATGACAGACATTAATACTTAAGATGATCTTACTTTTGTGGCAGCGGCCCGATGACCCAATCAAACTCCACATAGTTATCAATAGCATTCACTCGGATAACTTGACTAACATATTCGTTAAACACTTGATGCACTTCAGAAACAATTTTTCCTGAATATATTTTATAACTTGCTTTCTCAGATATTTTCACGATTGGTCCATCAGGTCTGAAGATGTACGCTCCGGAAGATCGGTTTTGAAAGTCGTCGTTATCTCCAACAAATCCGTTGTAATAGTAAAAGTTCTGACTTACTGGTACGCTCACATCGTTCACCACAATCGATGTAATCAGGCCGGTTTTTGGATCTATGAAAACTTCGCTTTCCTGAAAACATCATTTAAGAAAAGTTTTGATTTTGACTGGAAATAATCCCTACTGAGTCGCTGTTTTCGTAAGGCATTTCTCGCTGGTCTTGAAGATGAGAAATATCAGTTACAACGTAAGAGCTCCATCCAAGCGGAGGTAAGGCTCTGGCTATGAAGAGGAGTTCATAATCCGCTTTACTTGTACGCCCAGGAATTTTTTTTACAAACTCTGGTATTGGTACAATTTGAGTAGTGATATTTTCACCTAAAAAGTAAAATACAATTTTGGTAACCTCAACTACCGTGAATATTTTGCAGTTATTTTACCAACACGATCGTGTACAGAATAGCCAGTTCCTAGAATGGGCAGTCGTACGATCTTGTCTACATTTCTACTTAGCGGGTTGTAGACAGTAACAATGAATTGCTTGTTGGTAGTTTCGCTTTCTGCACATTGGCTGATGTTTAATAATGGACAAGTGTTGACTTTCAGTAAATCGAGCGTACTCTCATTAAAAAGAGGATTTGTTTTGCTTACAAGTTTGCTATAAAACATAAAAAGTTAATAAAATTTTTAAAAAAATTTGGAAAGTCGTTCCGTTTTCAACAACGACTTTGAATCGTTAAATTTCCTAAATGCGGCCATATGTATGCTTTAAAATATGTTTGGTACTTCAGAAGGTACAAATATTGCATAAAACAGTATTAAATTCTAAGTATTTCTTTTTTGGCTTTCGTATGGACAATTCAAAATTCAGCAAATCTATATTATGCAAGCAATTAAATGATTAGATACGTACAATGTTTCATTCATTTTAAATTGCTTGTAACGTTTTCAATTCATGAATTACGGAATTCATTTTTAAACATTAATCGATTTTTTCTTAATTTTTCGGATGGGTCACTTTTACCCCAATTCTTTCTTTAAAGTTTTAAATTGTATTGTTCTAATTTATTTGTATTTCATAGCTTATCAGTTATTACGTTTTGAGTAGCCGCGTCTAATTCGCAGCTTCTGATATTTTTTTAACGTTGGAAAAATCTGATTAGAAAAATTAAAGCTTAAAAAAGAAAATTAGGAAAGGCAGAAAGAGAAAAATATGGATGGAATTCAAAAGTTTCTTCAATTCGGGTTTTCAACTGTAAATACATATTTTGATTCCTAAATGTCTTGAAAATTTTTCTTAAAAAAATTAAAATTTATCTGTACTAAAAATCATGTGTAGACTGTGGAATATATAAAGCATGTCTAGAATTATTTTAACTGTGTTCAAATATTCATTCTTGATAAAGCTTGTTAATATTTGAAAGTTTTTACTTGGAATTGAACCTTATAGATCATAAAGTATTTTCAATTTCTTCAGAACACTCAACCCGTGTTTGATATTTCATATGAACATTTAATTTGCCGTTAATGTTGTTTTAATTGAATTTGTTCTCTATCTATTATTTATGCGTAGTCGGATATTAGAAAATAAAAAATATGTTTCAGCCTTCTGAAAATGTTAAATTAATTAGTCACATTAGCAATATTGTTTCAAATAGGAGACAAATATACCAAACAGGTAAAAATTAAAACTTTATAAATTGCGGATACAACAGATCAGATCAGATACATGCATGTATCAACATACAGCGGATGCAAAATAGTTGTACAATAAACTGTAGACACTCGCGGGAAAATATCAGTTGTAAGTAATTATTAATTATTAGATACTGATTCAAAATTACACATAGAAAGTTTATTCCCTGTAGATATCAAAAGCATTCTTCTGAATTTCTGAAGACTGCTGTCCTAATTAAACATTTGAAGAAAAATTCTCAGAACTTTTAGATTTTCGACTAAGTAACATTGTGATTCAACGGATTTTTTTTTTGTAAAAATAACATGCAATAGTCACAATTGTATTTGAAAAACTCCAAAAATGTAGATATTTATATTCTAAGGACAAAGCGCATTGCAAGCAATAAACTATTAATTAAATTAATCACCCAATTTAGGGGTAGCAGGAGCAACAACGCAACAATACAAACACAAAGCATTTGTCTGGTTACCGGGTGTTAAACTTTGTAAAGAAGTAATTTTTTTTGTTTTTTACAAACGCTGATGTTGATTTTAATTAAAGGTTCACACCATGTTTATTACCAGGCATGTTAATTTCTGTAAATCTCGAAATTTTTCAGCCAAACTGTATTGATTCTGCTTTTAATTATGTCAGCCTTACCTAATAGCAGCGGTAGTAATAATTTCGCATTCGTCGATACCCTTTTGCAAGTGGCGAGCATAATCGAAGGCCACATGTTGCTTTTCAGTTCCTGTAATAGCATCATGATGTTGCATTACACCCATCGCTTCTCGTAAAGCATTTAAATCAATTCGATCTTCAGGCCCCAGGTCAGCTAATGCATATAATTGTTTACACACCTGAAACGACCAATTTAATATATCCTCAATGTTTTCTGGTTCAATAACACAATTTATTATAACCAGTATAATACGCGAGAGGGCATAACTCATTTGAATAACTAGATAATAGTAATTAGTGAAGAGTAAAATGAAGGTACTTAAGTACTTCGTATATTAATGAGAAAAACTAAATTTAGATTATTTATTCCTGATACGTACTTGTAAGAAGTTGTTTCCATATCGTTCAAATCTCTTAATAGCGGGCCTTGACGTGAAATACCCGGTCCAAAAAGCGTGCGGATCAGAAGCATATGGGAAAAAGTCGTCCTGCTTCAGACGCCAAGCGTTTTTCCCTTCAGTTTCATCATAAATCGCTTTTACGTAGCAAGATGGTGTGGAGTAGATGAGGTTGTATTTAGAACCATTCGCTTGGCGCTGATTTCCATAACTGAAATAATTGCAATCTCACATCTCTTTGTTACACTTATGGGTGTTAACAATTCTTACTAGATCAGCTTGTCTAAGTTAACAAACCAAGATTCGGCATCTTGATAATTAAAGTCTTCTCCCATTGTAATTATAACATTGTTAGTGCTGTAGACCTTGGTGACGTTATCCAGATATCTGAAGAAGTCATTCACCTAAAAATTGTTTCAAATCAAAACATGTGGGGAAAGAAGCCGATTGTTTTTTATTTACTCGGCTGTCAACATTGTATTCGAAGCTGTTTTTATCATCAATTAAAGGTTCATCACTGCAAAGAAGATCGAAGCAAAATCCGGGAGGCGGTCCATATGTGTTATACATCACGCCAGTAAATATTTCGCTGGCTTCACCTACATTTTTTTTAAATATCATTACAAGTTGCGAAAATAAACGGGAGTAGAATTACCTAAACTTTCGCTTCCTCTCCATACCATTTCGGGGGTTTTAGTTTGCCATCTATACTGTTTGTCTTGGTAGTCAATGCGCCCTAATAGCACGCCATCGAACCCGAGTTGAGCAAATATATTGGCCATTTCCTTGCTGTGACCAAACGGATCGATTTGCCAGCCTAGTTTAGGTCTTCCACACTCACCAAATGTGTCGTTTAATTTTCTGCAGCATTAATTAAGTGGACAAATGCTTATCGAGCAAGTCTTCAGAAGAATATTCACCGTAAGCCCCAAGTCATTTGATCGATAATCGAATGATAATGCGTGGTTGCTTCGTCATTCATGCTCCAACCTCCACTGATGAATTCTAATTGGCCATTGTTGACCAGATTGCGCACCCTCGATTTTACGATGTCATGTTGCTTGATCCACCATTTCCAGAAGAATGCTGTTTCAACGTAAATAAATCTGAAATATACCGGATAGTAATTAGCGACCAGTCGAAACTAGGCCTGGTTATTTTTTATTTTTTTTTTGAATGGATACATACCGCCTGTTCTTGTCTTTACGAAGTGAGTCGACAACAGTATTTAGAATGTACTGAACTCCTGCATTCTGATTTCTGGTATTACCTGAAAAGAGACGTTTCATAGGAGACATTAACATTATTTGCATAAATCGTGGCGTGTATTAAGAAAAAATTGCAAGAATGGTATGAAATTATATTTCTATAAATCGTTTAGCTAGAACGTGCGGAAAAGCTTCTCCGGAGCGCTGTAATTGCGTACTTCGTATAGAACAAGCTCACCATAATGACTACTATGTCATCTGAAAATGTATGTAATTACTCAAAGGAAAATGGCATTAATCATTCGCCTTCATTCATTTTAAATGATTTTGGTTGGTGGTGTCTGTTTTTATTCTGCCTGTTTCTTTATTCATATCTATATCATCATTTTGTCGCTATATGTTCATATCATTCATATCATAATTCTTGTTCTTTTGCAGCCAGTCCGTACTGGGGTTGTTTGATTATTTAATCGTGTTTCTCTTTATCGTTTTCATTGTCGTTCGTATGTCAGTGACTTCGTTTTCCGATACCATTCATCTATGTATTTTTATGTTAAATTTTTTGGTTTCATTTATTCTGCATAAGTATGACTCTACTTAATCATATGGTAAATGCGCATATACGATCTTTCATTCATCTTCAGTTCGCCATCAGGTCGTTTCATGGCAGTTTTCAGTCTCCATGTAATTTATCTGATTTAATATCTGGGATTTGCTTTTTTCTAATAACTTTCTACGCTTTAATCACTCCGTTTTCTTGACCACTTCAATCAAGATCTTTCTTCTGTCTGTTATTATATTCTTTTAGTGTCAGCTTCTATTCCGCCTGCTTGTTTATTCTTTTATTTACCAACATATTGTATTTTATTTATCATCATATGTTTATCCTGTTTATTTGCGTCCAACTCTTGTTCTGTTATTTTGCTGCTCGTCCCTACATTTCTCATGATAAATCTGTCTGTTTACTTATAATTTATGGTTTTCAAAATCACGTGTTCACTCATTATTTTACGGGCTTTATTTATTTTATTATATTTTAATCGTCATCTTATTCATTTTAAATCAATCATTTCCATATTTATGGTTTTATTTAATATCTATCATCATATGCCGCGTATATATATGTATGAATTTCATTCATGTTTAATTCGTCATCAGGTTTTTAATACAAATTTTCAGTCTTCATGTACTTTATCTGATTTTATATCTCGAATTGGCGATTTTCTCAAAACTTTCTTGATTTTTTCATTATTTTGTTCTTCTACTAATAGTGTTCATTTATTAACAGATATGCTCTTTTTATTCCTTTTTAGCTGCAATATTTTTCAGCTTTTTTCATCAGAAATTTCACTGATCGACTGCTTTGTATGATTGTGATTTTACTTCTGTTTGACCACCTTAAAATCTAATGGATTTCTATTTGTCAATTTTTGTAGGTATTGTAAGGTTTACATGGATGCTCAGTCTTTTTATCTCTGTATTTTTCTGTATTCTTCGTATCTTCAATAATGCTCTCCTTTATCGTTGTCTTTCTGTTTTTGTTCATTGTGGAATTATCATTCGACGATAAGACATACATGCTCCATTTAGTTCTGGTGATCTTATGTAGGTAAGAAACCGCCAACCATTTAAATTTATCGGATTTATTTATCCTGATGTTCGGAAAACATTTTATGAAAAATGAATGACAATATTTTGTCCACTTTTGGGTTTCTGTTAAATAATTTTATATTTCTCATGTCTGTATGAATTCATCCAAATATAATTATTTCTTTAATTTTCAAATTGGGCATTAAGCAGAAAATGCAAATCACCTTATTCGCATTTGCCATTTACATAATTTTTTACGAAACTGTTTGAAATTCTCCAAATGTGCAGTCATGAATTTGTTTAAAACGAATTGCTCAATTTTGAGATTTAACCGATTATCTATAGGGTGTGTTAACTAATTTTAATTTTAATTAATACATTCAATAATCAGTACAGAATTGTATCCATCCTGTACATACTTCCACTACATTCTTTCCTGTGCAATTTCTTGTGCTTGAATCATTTGATTATTGGGATTTGTCATATTTTTCAATTTCGATTATATTTCGTTTCTGATCTAATATTATCCAAAACATTTTTATTTTTTCCAAAATTTCATAAGAAAAACAAAAGTAGCCAAGTAGTATTTTCTCTATTCTTATTGCAGTTCTCTTGTCGAAGAAATTTGTTGCAGTTCTAAAATGTTTTTTTTTGTAGAAAATAACGCGTCTTATATAAACGCTTCTTCGCGTACTTTTGCTGAAAACGCTCTTCAATCTTATTCATTATAAAAAACTTTTCAATGTAGCGATTTTTTACTTCTAAAAAAATTCAAGAAAAATATTCGAATTTATTGTCTGAGAATTACATAGTCGATTTTCTTTACTTTGCTATTGGCTTATGACATTCAAAAGGTGTTTTCAAAAATTTCCAATAGAAATCAAAGTCTACCATTTGCCAATAACACCTAATTAATTAAATTTGAATTGATCTGTTGCGAATATGTAAGTAACATACAAGAAAAATGATTTTGATATCTGTATCAACAATAGTAATAAGATACAGTTAATAAACCATATTGTTTGCATATCTCATGGGCTATTGATCTATAATCAAATAAGAGAACAGTATGTTAATAATAACTGTTATCAAACTTGGAGCTTGGCTTGTTGGCAAGAGATTAGGCACAATTTAAATTTCTGGCTTTTTATCCTGTACTTTGTGCTCTAGCATTCAATTATTTTCCGATTTAATTTATTGACAATTTACATCAAATTAATATTTTACTTACTCCCATAGAAGTACTGGTCAACAGTCTTTAACCACCCGACATCGTCATGGGTATGTGGTACAATATGTACATTTATCATTCCTTTAGTAATTGGATGGCACGACTAGAACATGTTAATATTACCGAATCTTAGAAGGTTAAGGTTTCTTTTTAAGTAACATTTCTTGCCTCATATCCACAGCGTTTTTTTGGAGGCGGAGGTGTTGTTGGAGTCGGAGGTGTTGTTGGAGTCGGAGGTGTTGTTGGAGTCGGAGGTGTTGTTATAGGCCAAGATGTTGATGTAGTGGTAGAGGTTGGAGCAACACAGGCTATCATACCAATGAAACTGGTGCTCCAAGCAATGAGAGTAAAATGCATGGTTTATGTCTTCCTTAGTTACCTAAGCCGATAAAGAATTAAAAGTAACATTAAACCATTTGATTCGTTACTACACAATTATGTCTCAAACCAGATTCTAAGTCGCAAAAAATCTGATCTGACCAGAATCTGTCGCAAAAGTTCATTATTCTATGAAATATGTATTGTGGTATGAACTGGGTATGATGGTGGAAATTAGTTTACTCATATCAGTATATTTTGACTCTTATTTAGTTAACATTTATTACTTTACAATGTTGCAAAAAATTGCAACGTTAATTAATAAACTATTAATTAATATTATGTATGTGTCATTTAGTGTCGTGCAAATTTGAGAAATCCTTGAATGGAATGCGATTGATTTAATTTTGATTAAGTAGAAATTTTAATTTGAGCTACTAGCCATAAATTCCTGCCAGAGGGAAATAGTGTTTAAAAATTCACATATTTTTAATAATATTTACATTTGTGATTAATTCAAAACAACGATTAACAGTTTTTTATCGAACTTAATTTTCAATAATTCTAGAACTTTTAAATTGTGTACAAAACCGATTTTTAATATTTTTCAATGATAGAAGTTGCCTTTTTCCCAAGTCTTACATAAATAAATATTCTTGAAATTTCCCTAAACTCTAAACATGTGTGTCACAAGTGTCTTTAGATTTTGAAAAGAATTAAATAATTTGCGATACCGTTAAGGTAATGCGTTTATTATGCATTTTAATTAATTTTTATTTTACGTTCTGTTTTAACTTTTTATTACAAATTTTTATTTTACTTTCTGTAAAACTTCAAGACCACAACTATTATCTTTCTCTTTCAAGTTGCCGCTGGTTGTAAATCAAATTAGTGCTCAAATTATTGCTAATTGTTGGAGTTTATCGAAACGTCTAGTTTGGAAAAACTCACGCCATTAATTTTTGTCCAACTTTACTACAACTGGAAATATAATAAGTACAACTAATTAAATATTTACCAGTTAGCGTGGAAATTATAACTTTGGTTGTACTGAACGTGCACTTATTTGTTAGGCATAAAACCGGCATCAATTAATATTACAAATATAATATTACAAATCTATACCTAAAATAGTTGCTTAAAACGAAAGTTTACTGAGAACGTTTACACAACAACAAAATTAATTAAAGACAGTGTCAAAGGGTTAAACCATTTCGAGTAAGAAGGTCATAATAATAAACAAAGATAGTTTACGGATATTTAATTCGGACTATGAATATACGTTTTTGGTGCATTTTATTCAAGGACTAATGTATTTTATTTTTCACTTATTATTATTATTTTATCGTTCAATTTCTCTAGGAATTAATTACAGAACTTCTGTAATTAGGCTAGTGATAATTTTTTTATGATTGTCGACTGCTCATTTCCATGTATTACTAATGAATACTTACATTTAAAATTCCCACGGAACCAATTTTCTTTTCGATCGGCAACTTCACATAAACTATTGACGAACTGGAATGACCATGTCCAATGCCGCAGACTCAAATCGGCATTATGTGCGTCGATTAGCGAAGCACTTCTGATAAATTGCGCTACTTTCATTGGTGAATTATATCTCAGTATTTGTGGTCATTATCGTTGATACTTTATTTTATGTTTATGTTTCAGTTTAATCAATTGTTTTTTACCAAATAGGTTTCGGTCGAAACATGATGTTGTTTTACATGTCCCAGTTTAGTACACCGGGTGTCAATTTAAAAACTTCCCACTCTTAATAACTTTCTTGCAGTTTAAAATATGAAAAATCTCGGAAAGACCCGTAAATTTTATTTGTAAGGGGGACACTTTAAATTAATATTTTCAGCCTCCTTGTTTCAACCCCTTAGAAGGGGTAGATGTCACCCTGAGAATCTTAAATGGGAAAATGGCACTTTTCTAGTTACTACTTTGTTGCTTTTGGTTCAAGGATTTTCGAATAATCGCGTTTCAAAATTACAGAAACAATTAAACCAGATTTTGGTTTTCAAAATTTTGTCAAGCAAGTATTTTCATAATAGGACTATGACTAAGGACTAGGACTGTTGCTAAGAGTAATTCGAAAATAATGAGAAAATTAAGAATGTTTACAATACACTATTTTAATTTGGGAATTGCCATGTAACCATTAATAATAATATAACGGCTATGCATGTTGAAATTTTAAATATCAATTAACAGTCGTACTGATAAGGACTTAAAATTACAGACCTTTATTACAACACGTCCCAGATATACATTGCCCTTTCGCCCTAGTTCATTCTAGATTGTTTTCCCCATTGCATTAGATTATTGTTTTCCGAACAACATGAACGTCGGCGAATTCTGTGGCAAAAACAATTACGATTGAAATAAACGATCTTGAGATTCCTTTAAAGCATATTGCGGTCCGTCGTTGATACGGGACTTAAGCCTATATTTTTTCCCCGTAAATCGGCCTATATATAGCTAGTTCGCAAAAAAATAATTAATACACGTTGTTTAAAGTTGTAATTTTCTTAGTATGTTTTAATAATGAAGGTCACATTCTGCATAATTAAAATTAAAAAAAAACTACAAACACGAAATTCATGGGTGCGAGGAAATTAATTATAATTCATAATTATTTGAAACCCTTTTCATTTGCAGATAATTTTTCTGTTGCTGGCCTCTAACCAAACTTGCAATAAAAAACAAATTATTCATTATATTTATTACTAAAATAACAGGGTGTAGAGTAAAAGGACTCTACTTTCAAGTTTTTTAAAGGTAGGATATTTTCACAGACTTATTTTTCGTTTGTGATCTTCGTGTGTTAAAACTAAATTAATTTTTACTTATCTCAAAATGTTTCATACAGGCAGTAGTAATGAAAACAATCATTGGAAAATTTTGTATTTTTATTGTTATATAAGTCAGTAGAGTAGTGTAGACAAATTGAGACTTTTTTCTTCCGAAATTCAATCAACAATCCGAAACTGAATTTCAGTTTACTAAAAATCAGAGCCGAGCTGAGTTTTTCGTCGGTCGAAGTGAAAATGTTTTGTACATTATGTGGAAGTTCGGATTTCCAAAATTTGTCAATCAAGTGTTCATTCATTAAATATTTCAAAAACGAAAACGACATACGTAATTCAAGTAGGTTAACACAGACAAAACTAAAATTGCTGTTTCAAAACCGTTAAATAATCAGAACAAGCGAAATATTAGCACTTAACTGTGTGGATGACCACGTGAAAAAGCAATTTTAGTTTAGTCTGTTTTATTCCATCTCAATTATTTCTACTTATTTATATTATATACTTTTAATTTCCTTTTTAAAATATCAAGGGGGTTTGGGTTTATTTTTCATTCGCGGGTATTTTTCGACCTTTATGAATTACCTACACACTTAATACCAGATAGCAGTTTTATAGAATTTTATCTAGTGTGTATGTGCATACACGTACTTGTTTTCAATTAATATTATTTTTAACATTTTGGTCAATCTTTAATACCCTGTATTTAATGGGGAAAGCATTTTTTTAATATGATTTATAAAGTAAACTCATTCGATTTTTTGATCTGTAAAACTCCCGTTTTAAGAAGTTGGCCGCCTATGTAGGATTAAATTGAGAATACCGTTTGTTGTAGTGTTTTGTTGAGTCAAAATTACCTGTTTTTTGTTTCCTTTATTTATTGATCTTTGCAACTTTTACTTTAGAACATTTTTCGCCGTTTTGATAATCATGGCATACTTGTATAGAAAATGGCACCTAATTATTGACAAAAAATACCAGAACGTTGATCATGAATGGCTAAAATTGCGGGCAAAAATCGAAAAAAATCACATTGACCTTTTCGTCTCTCATTAACCACTGAAACCATATGTTCACTATTTTTTTTTAAATCATTTACTTTATTCAAACAAGAAATTTGCGATAAAGCATTATCCAGAATTATAGCTCAGTTGGGCGATTATTAAACATACTCTTTTACATGCCCAGTTAATTTCAAAAAATTCAGAAATACACATTTTCTTCTAACATACATGTTATTAAATTAAGTCGTCAATCAGCCCAGTTCAGTCTACAGAATTCCATGAAGCTGCTGTTCTGCATACATTTCCACCAGAAAACAGACCAAAAAATCTGCTGTAGCGGAGCACGCACTTAGAGGAAGCGATTAAATTCTCTCAATAGAAGCAGTCGTTTTGGACCAAATACATCACTTATTTCCAAGATTGACCAGGGAAGCCACTGAGATTTTCAAACCTCCAGTTAACTTCAGCAGAAAAGAAGAAGGTAGTGCGCAAAACAAGAACTGCAGGCGAGCATTGCGTTGCTCCCCGCGCGTTCCTGTTCCCCACTCTATCCCTACCACCGTTTTACGGACACAATATAGTATAAATACAGCAACAGTTCCGGCCGAAGAACCATTGGAACGCGGAAGACAACTTCGACCGTTTAATCATTTATCAATTAATCAGATCAATTTTTCAAGAAGATAAGTTTTTTAACCAAGGTTCTACTAGTTGATAAAATGTTTTTCCTGACCAAAAAAGGAAAATACCAGATTGTTAAAGTTGTAGGTTACCTTTAATAAACCATACCTACACATTGTTTAACATTCTATAAAATACATACAAAACTGTTTTGTCACTTATACTTATACATATTTGTACACAGTACAAAACAAATCCAAGCCAGTCCAAATCCCATCCCACACCCCAAATTATTTAAAGTTTTGTAATTTTATGCGTTGCTTTTAGTAATGATACTAATACATTTTTTATAGTTCAATTTTTTTAAGTGGGAAAAATTGAAGTAAATATCACGAAGGTCAAATGCTTTGTTTAGCAGATGCTGCTGTCCAAAGCATAGAAATATAAATGAGTCAATCGACTTTCATCAAATTTTATAAATTTGCTTGCTAGTAGCTTATTGAAATATTGTTTGCTTCCAATGGACTCTGCCAACATGCCCCTCAATTGATTTATATATGTATTAATTCCAATATTGATGCAAAGACACATTTCCCTTTTTTGGAGAGTTCTTCGAGTGGCATAAGAAACTATAAAGGTATCAATTAGTTGAAGCCCTTTACAAGATTTTATCAACAATTATTCGTCAATTCTTGCTCGGCTTCATCTATTTGCTACGCTGAAGAGTTGATGCAACTGCTTGTTTGAAGCTAGCACTGCTATAACTATGACAAGAACTATTATTATAATTATTAATACGGTTACAGTGACTAGTAGAGATTTTTCGCATTTCGATCTTCTTGCGCAGCAACAGTACTGTTCTCTGTAGATCCTGAAAAAAATATTTATAAATGTCTGTTAATAGCGCAAAAAATGTGCCCACAAATCAAGAAAATAAATAAAATAAAAAATATATAAATGCTTCAATAATCAAATCGCAAAACATGTTTGAGAACCGGGACTTTTGAATTAAAAAATAGCAAATTTGTTAGTTTTTAGGCTTCTAACCAAGCATTCGATAATGGGTATAGAATTTACGAGTTGTTCTTACTTTACAAGCTATACAAGTGAAAGTCTGGGATTTTTCAACATGTTCTGTTAAAATTTACAAAGTATATAAAAATTTTATTCAGGACTTTTCAGTGTTATACTCATTATGAGTGTGTTTAGTTGAGAGACAGGGTGTTCAGTTTAGAGGTTTAAAGGCAAAGTGATGGTCACTAATCACCAGGGATTAATTATGGTTGTCGCAGTGGGTCAAATAAGGTAAGTACGTTGACAAATTATTTCGAGTTGTTTGCAATTTGTTTTGATTGGAATACCAATAGTGATTCCTAGTTTGTCAAAATTTCAAAGATTAACGCACTATTAAAATGAACAAAAATCAATTTAAATTGCCGCTTTTCAAAATATTTTACTTAGAAAAATATTAAATTTGGTGTGACGTCCTTTTCTTGCACGTACAAATCATTTACGGGTCAGAAGCTAATGAAAAATGTGAAATAATTTTCGGGATCATTAATTCTGTATATTTCGATGAGATATCTTTAAAATACGAGCCATTTTCGCTTTGAGTATATTACTCAGGGGTATGAAGTACGCTATAAAAAATAATCGTTTTATTATGAACACTATAGCAAATTATATCCCTTTTTGAAACGTACATACGAATTTCGTTCTACAAAATCTACCACTTTCACTCCAGGCAATATAAATGTAACTCTTCATGGAGCTCCTGGAGCAATATTTCTTTTATCTTGCAACAAAGATAAGCAATACGATTTAACTTCAAATAGCCAAATTAATTTATATACAGGGTGATTCAAAATTTGCGTAATTCCTTTTAAGGCGTAATAGGGGTTCACTTATAGAGTACGAGAATAATATTGAAACATTTATTTTCAATAATTTCTAGAAGATATTAACTGTTTGGAACTGAAAATCCAATTTCAACTTTCTTATTAAGCATTACTTCTAAATGGTCCCATGATTGATTGGCATTATTGAATATTTCAGTATTCAGAAAGAACAATTACGATCTTTGCTTCAAATTACGAAAATTTTTGATATTAAAAAGTTCTCTTCTACAACTTTTTGATGTAAAGTCA